TAATCCAAATCCCATACCTTTCTATAATTTGAGGGCTCATCATAAAAACTAGAAATGAGTTGGAACCTATTTTTGATTTTTTTTTCTCTTCTCCCCCCCCCCCTCCCCCCTTTCTAATTTTGTTTCCTGCTGGATTGTAGTCCCATTGGCTTTTGATGCCTTGTGGTTCCTTGGCCAAGTGGGGACTCTTTTGTCTCTACACAATGGGTGGCTTATGACTGATTTTATTTTGTTTAGTCTGCTTAGTCTAATTCTATCCCTACAGCTACCCACTTGAGATCTGATCAAAGCATGCAACCTTCTTAGGTGCATATTTATAAAGGATATCCTTTATATCCTACCTATATCAGTAATAAAAAGGCTTTGAGAGTGCACAGAAATAGTGCACAAGTTTTCTCTGTATATGACGGCATTTAAATAAATGTTGATGACATTACCATGCAGCAGAACCTTACTAGTTCCTTCTTATTTTCAATGTTAATTGGCTGGAGGCGTGTAAAGCACCCGCAAATACTATTAATGTGTTTTGAAAAGGGTATAATCTTTCAAAATGTAGACATAATCTTGGGTCCCTTTTTGATTTACAGTGAAGTAAGCTGACGGATGAATACACAAAATTGAGAAAAACCAAAGTAGCTTTTTCGAATTTCTAGCATTGATGGCTCTATTTAATTCATGTTTTAAAAATTTGTGATACTTGGATAGTTTGTGGAATGCAGATTGAAAGAGCTCCTAGTGCTACCTGGCACGTTGAAGTGTCTATGCATCAAATATCATTGTTTAGGAGGCTTGGAACAAGCATTATATATTGGCAATTGCTTTTGCTTTGTTCTCCATCTTTGAAATAAATCTAAATTACAGTTTGCTTCGAACATTTTTGATTTCATCTGTAGGCGGTCACTACTGTACGTACCATTTCATATTTTCAGACTGAATCTTGTTGAAGGATCTTTACACTTGAATTAATACTGTGTGCTTCCAGTAGTAGTTCAAAGCAATTCATTATATTGTTTTTCTGGCTGGTACTTCAGAGCTTACTGAATTGTTCACCAATCTATGATTATGTTTAGGATTGGAGCCCATTGGAAATTATCTGGTTTACACAGAATACTTACAGCAATGAGGGAATTTTTTTTTTTAAGTTTCACGGTTTACTTTTATAACATTTTTAAACTTGCTGTTTTGCAGATTGGAGCCTTCTCCTGCCTTTGTACAGACATTTTACATTTTTATGTCTTGTATAAACTTGTAGAAACTAATGCACCAATTTGCTTAGCTTGTAACATGGAGGCACTACTTTAAAATCTACACCATGACCTGAAAATTTTATGGTGAATAATTTGTGATAATGAGAACTTAACAAATGTGTAGTCCAGAAGCAGAAAAACATGTGAGTTTAAGGCTGGAATGCAGTCAAGTGGAATGAAAACAATTGAATGTAGATAAGCATAGATTGCAATTTTTGTCCTTTAAAACAAATGTGCACTTAAGTAAAACAGAATAGATTTAAGTATCTGAGTACAATAGGGTTCCTGGAAAGTACATATTTTTTGCAATAGAACAAACTATTTAGAACTGAGTCCTGTATACAGATCTCTTAACTATTTTGATAAGTTGCTTTGCGATTTTGGGGGAATCGATGTTTTCTGCTTGTCCATTGACTGTGCCTTCAGTCAACTCTCTTTCCGTGCTCCTAACCCCTAAATTATACTGAGATATTACTCCACGTGAAGGACACTGTACTATAAATGTACATTATTTATACCATAGTTCTGGTCTTGGCCATCAATGACCTGCTTAAAGTAACTTCTTCCGAGGTATTATACTATGTAGATTATTCTAGAAAATCCAACGGTGCATTTCATTCTCAAAAAAAAACAATCTGTGGAGTTGCCCTTTGCCTTCAAACACAGCAGCTTGACTATGTCTATTATCTTCTTTCCTTAAGATATTGAAAGTTTTTTTTGGCAGTACGTACAAATTTCAAGAAACTTGCTGTCTATTTACTTCCATCACTACTCCGTGCTCTTTATCGCAGATTCTACCTTTGACTGACAAAAATATGGATTGCTTAGCAGAGCTCAATAGTATCAGTTTCAAGTTGGTTCGGGATCTTCATACACAAGTTTTAACTGGGGAGTTGGGAGGAGGGAAAGATGAAAGAGGAGAATCCCATCAATGTTATTAAAATAATAATGTATGTATGTAGAGAATACCTTTTCATTTTCTGGTCAACTGCATCTGATATTTTGCAAAGATTTTAAACTGTTGGAACTTTTGCACAGATATTTTGTGCAAGTATAGCGTTCACCATTGCTCAGTAAAATAGGTAAAAAAACATCGGTCTTCCCAGTAAACCATTGCTATGAAAGTCAAGTCAGTTAAGATCGGGATTCTTGGAATTAGCACCCTTTGCTCTGCTGTTCACAACTGCATATTTTAATGTTTGTGAGTTGTTTAGGGTCTGTACAACCAATGTTGAGGAAATTGAAACAAGAGAGTTGGCTTTGCATTTCCATTACTAATGAAAATTGGTTCTAAGAATTAATGGGTGGTTGTAGAACATTGCACAAATTACATACAAATTTTAAGCAATACAGTATGATACATTCTGATACGTCTGTCATTGCGCAAGCTGGGAAAACTGGTTCTTGTTTAAACTTCTACATGATGTGATTTCTGTGGCGTGTAATCCTATTTATGCTATTTTCTGACCTGAGGTGTTTCACTAAGCAGAAACTCCTTGAATTTAGAACCGATATTCAAGACAGTGTAACAGATTTAGCTTAGAGGCCTGTTTTTGACATTAACCCTGACTTCAGAGGTAGCAGTGTTCTGGCTCTGATTACCACTGAGCTATCATCCAGCTCCAACAGATCAGGAATGTAATTTGACAATGCCAGCCAGTGGAGATCCTTGCCAAAGATCGAGGAAGGACTGTGATCCGAAAAGGTTGCGATTTTGGAAACAACTACACATGGACAATTATCTATGTCTGGTGACTTGAATTCCACCCAGTAAAATAAGAAGGCCAATTCTAGGCAATCACAGCCTTGGGCTGCATGAGAATTGGTTCTTTTTGAACCAGCTCTCAATTATTCCTTAAACTAAATGAAACATAATTGGTGCAACAAAATGTAATTATATAACTGTACGGAACTGTCGAAGGAAATTCCCAAGGATAATACAAATGAGCTCCACAGAAGCAGAAGTCACAAGATCTGTGTAGTTTGAGTTGATCTGGGATTGTGCTTGCAAACCAGCAACGGCATAGTCAAGGATAGACCCATATTAAGAGGCTGCCTACTTTATTTACCACCAGCTGCTGTTGCTATTCCCACACAAGGTAATACTGGTGATCAGTTTTAAATTCATCCAATATTACAAAACAGACTTGCTGTGTTTTTTTTAGTAAGGAGAATCTACTTTGTGTGTACATTATCAACAAAAATCTACAGCATAATTGGTTTCTAGTGGAATTGTAATATTGAGCCATTTTAATGGAATTCTATAGAATGGATTTGAGTGGAATTGTACTATTGAGCTGGATTGCCAAACTATATCCAGTTCCTTTTAATTGGTCAAGATCTATTAAGTTTTAGTTAGAAGAAAACTTTGATTCCTGAATGCAGTACTATAAATGATCCATAGTTTTTTTTCCATCTATTTGTCTTGCATGAAGTGAAAGTACATAGAAAATTTCTATGGGTACGTGGATTTATTTTTAATTTGGCAGCTTTCCCCATCAACAAAATAAGACTTGTGTGTGAAGACCTGTACACCGTTTTCTAAACCATACAATAGAAACATAAGCTTTTGTTGCAGTTAGAATTTCCATTTGCATTCTTATTTCAATTTATTTGTTCTTCTTTGTAATGAGTTGAAATTGCATACCTGTCCAAACCTAGCGGTGCACAATCCATTGACTCATTAGTTGCTTTGTTGAACAATTTGGATAGATTTTATTCCCCTTACCTGAAGTGCAACAGCTCAAATATAACAACAACTTGGATTTATATAGCGCCCTCCACGCCGGACAGAATAATGTGATATTTGGTTTATTTTCCATAGCCATAAAATGTAGAGGGATTGCGAACAAACCAAAGAATGTGATTACTTACGTGTTTGTTTGCATTGGATGCAAAATATTTTAGTCATCCAAGACATCCCATTATTATCCTGGTCCTAACACAGGGACCAGGAGTGGCCGATGAGACTATGAATTATTGCATACAAATAACTAGAAATAGTACTGTGTGTGCAAAGCTCTTAAGTCTGTGGATAATTCCTTTAAACAGTAGAATAAAATGGAAATGAGTGGCAGCCTTCTGGTGCAGTTGATTGGTGAGTTCCAGATCTCCAATTAGACGGGAGGAAGTGTTGAGTGGGCATTCTACACACAGGCAAAATAAAATAAACCTAGAGTGTGTTAAAGAACTCAGGCATTCTTATAATCTTTACTACACAACTAGCTTTACAGCAGTTATGTTCCAGCATTTTTTTTAGACTACAGCGAACCTTAGGATTGAGCTTTGGAATAATAGTGGTCTGTCTCAGAAAGCCATACATGTAGAATTGATTAAGAAATTCGAGGTATAGATATCTGAGGAGCAGAAATATCACAGAATCTGATGAAGACAGGGAAATGGTATTGGAAGCGGTGGTAGTATATTGTGTCATGCATTGTTCTGGCTAAGCAGGTTCAACGGGCTGAATAGATATTACCAGAAAAAATAAGTTATTCAATATTCTGGGTGGACTATTAGCTTGAGGTAGTTTTGGTGCTCCGATTCCTAACATGCTGCTACTTGACTTTACTTTTCAAAAAAAAATCTCGAATGAGTCACACTGAAGCAGCATATATTCCTTCAGTTTTAAAGGAGAACCATTTTTTTGGGTGTTGGTCTACTCTGAAGCTACCATAACAAAATACCGTTTGTTCTAATGAATCTTGTAAGCATGATAAATACTCATGGTGTGTGTAATTTTTATTTTTGCAGAGGAGGCTGACTACAGTGCCTTTGGGACAGACACTTTAACACGGAAGAAGAATGTTTTGTCAAATGTACTGCGCCCTGACTACAACCGGAAAAAACCTCCTATTGCTATCAGCTTGCCACGTGATTTCCGCCCAGTGTCCTCCATCATTGATGTGGATATTCTTCCAGAAACCCATAGAAGAGTTCGGCTATACAAGCACGGATCGGAGAAACCACTCGGATTCTACATCCGTGATGGTTCCAGTGTCCGAGTAACATCTCATGGGCTTGAGAAAGTACCTGGAATTTTCATCTCCAGACTGGTGCAGGGGGGATTGGCAGAAAGCACAGGCCTCTTAGCTGTGAATGATGAAGTACTTGAAGTGAATGGCATTGAGGTGTCAGGAAAAAGCCTTGATCAAGTGACCGATATGATGATTGCAAACAGCCACAATCTTATCATCACTGTGAAGCCAGCAAATCAAAGAAATAACATTGTGAGGAACAGTCGGACTTCTGGTAGTTCAGGTCAGTCTACTGACAGCGGTGCCAGCCATCCAGCTTACATGACGTCACCACACATTGTGCAGAATTACGAGGCAGAAGAGGAAGACAGTGATGAAGACAGTGACATTGTCATTGAAGGGAGTGGTGAGCCTCAGCAGATTCTGTTGTCGATGTTTGCCAGTGCTAGCATGTCATCGTTAACAAAAAGTGACCATCATCATGGTTTAACTCGAAATGGTTCTGTTGCCAGTGGTGGAGAAATTGTTGCCAGTGGTGGAGAAATTGTGCATGTAGTACCAGCTGTCACAGAATTGGATCCTGCACCAAAGGAAGCAATGAATAGGCCAAGCATGGAGGAAGATGGCACTGTTATAACACTATAGGCTTCTGGGTCTGCACTTACTGAAATGTGCCAATGATAGCTGACATTTTTTGATTTTATAGGATTGCTCTGCTGTACAGTAGCTGTTTGCTATGGTTTGGAAATTACTCTGTATGTGAAACAAGCAGCACCATCTTTTAACTTTTGCACGTCTGCAATGGGATTGCAGGCTTAAAGTGAATGGTTTAGTTTAAGATGTTACTGCTTGGACCCATTTTTGGTGATTTTTTTTTCCCCCCCTCCCCAGCAAAAGTAACTAATAGGAAAAGATGACCTAAAATTGCTACTATTACCTAACGATAGCTTTAGAGGCAACTTACTTACCTGTAAGAATTATTTTAAAAGTACACTAGGATCTGATTGTTTGCGGTGCGTTAAACTAGAAACAGTGATACATTTCCTTCTGTTCTGTTCAGATCATAAATTGTGGGTAATCATAAATTGTGGGTAATCTGATTTGCTGGTGTGGTAGTTGAAAACCAAAAATATGCTTCTGCATAACCACAATTTTAATTCCTCTTTTAATCCTGTTATTTTCTGCTTTTAAAATTTAGAGCCTTTTTTAAAATACATGTAAACCATATTTTACCACTGGGCACTTTTTTTTAAAATGCACATATGTTAATCACACAATTGCACAAAATCGAGCATTATTCTTTACACTCTGGTGTATAAGCATTTGAATTCCTAAATGCTGAAAGTTGGCAAATTCTAGTTCTCTTTGTTTCATATTTTTTAAAACCCCAGTAACATCAATGCAAGGTAGTATTTGTAGCATTGTTGAGTGAAAAGGAGCCAGTTTGCAACTGTGCCCTAAACCAACCTAATCAAAAGACAATTCTGACTTTAGCTCATTTGAAATGTATGTGCTGTACTAGAATTGTACACATCTGTAACGATAATAAGTGCTTGGAAATGAGCCTAATTTCAAATAGAAAATTGTGCTGGATTTCCACTGTTGAACTTGAAAGTGAAGGTTTAACTATGGAATTGCTCATAATTATTCTTCTGATACTTTTTAAAAATTATGCACAAAAATTACAAGATGTAAATAACCAAAACTTTCAAAAGCTTGTCAGAGAACTAGTTTATTTTTTAAAAAATGTTTCCAATATACAACTCTTTGCTGGAATTAATTTAATTAAAACAAACACTGACCAGACTCTCTAGGGCTTAATGTTTAAGAAATTTCTGAAGCGTTTCTTTTTAAAAAGTTGGCAGTTTCTCCCTTTTTTTTGATGTTTTTCTTCTATTTTCTTTCCTCTCTGGAAGCTGCTTAACTTGATAGGGATACAGTTTATTTGGGCTCCTTCCAATACCTCACTGAAGCAACATTATGTGCGTGCGCATGAGCAAAATAGGGATTCTGTTTCTCTGTCCTACTTTTTCTCTCTACACCCCTGTCTCTCCTTATCATGGGAACTTCAACTGCTGTCCTGGATGAGATCAGCTAACTTTGCATTTTTTTAACCTTGACAAGAATGTTAAGGTAACTGTGCACTACAGAATGTGTTCAACTGAGATCACTAGCTCAACATTTGTGCCTTAGATTACTGCAAACTTAGCTGATATTTGCCAGATCGGTCCCAGAGAGATGTTGTTTACTACAACCATCTCCTCTGATTGAAGGGAATTTTTATTACAGTTTGTGCAGAAATTCATTGAAGTAAAATTGCTGGCTTCTGCACTAGGGAATCTGTTTTGTGTTAAAGCTTTCTGCGGTATGCTGTTAACTTGTGAAAACCTCTTTTGCATCTGTTCCTCACTCAACCTTTGTCTCCCATTGTCTCGATAGATGTGATTTTTATCATAGTCTAAAAATAGGAATCTAATATTAGATGCACAAAATCCAGTAACATCCAGTAGATCTGCACACGTGATCTACCAATGTCAAATAGGAAAAATCTGAGATTCTGCAAACTGTCAATCGTGTCAGATTATCTGCTTCGGAGTGGACAAAAGAGGCATTAGTTGTGTTTACAGGTGCAGATAGGGTATGGGTTTCTTGGGTGCAATACACTATCTGAATAAAACCAATTTTGCCAACGTTATTCTAGCTCCAGAAAACTAGTCGACAAGTTCCATCGCTTGGCTGTGCCCTAAATTTTAATGTGTATGTGTTTCTGTTGGAGAGGGTTCTGATTTTTAAATTCAAATTGATTCTATTTATGCAGTATCAAGCCTGTGATTGAACAATCATTGTCCTTTATTGTATTTTCAATTTCTGTAATTATTTGGCGTAATGCAAGTGAAAATAATTTACTAGGTGAATGAAGCAGGTTTTGGTTTGTTGGTGTTAATGTTAATATGCATTTAATTAAGTAGGATATTAGTATACTTTTTAAATTTAAAACGTACATTGCAAAATTGAGTTTGTACCTAAAATGGATGGTTTCCTCGCATGCGCAAACCTTAATTTATCATTGGATGTTTTATGGTAGTTTAAAGAATTACGGAAATCTATTTATAAGATTGTTCTTGGAGTAATCAACTAGATATAGCACTGAAATAATAGACTTCTGATTTTTATACTGCTGAAAGTTATCTACTGAGCAATCCAGGTTTCTGAGCAGGAAGCTGAATTTATATTACTTGCTCCCAATATCTTGGCAACGGGATCTGAGGAAAGCACTAGCTTTTAATGTTCTTAAAGTATAACCAAGCTTTTAACAACATTAAAAATGATTCTGCCCGAGAGCTTTTAAGGACCTATTTCTGAATGTGGACCACTGTCGACATTTTTATTGCAGAAGTGTGAATAAGAGACCTGGTCAACCCACCTCCTCAAGATAGTCTCAGCGTGAATCACCAGGATTGTGATTTAAACCGCTGAAATCACTGTTAAAAAGTGCAAGGAAAAATAACCTCTTAAAATGACATGACCACTACTATATATAATACTAAGTGTAGCCCTTCTTCTACTTTGCTTCAATTGTTTATACCTAAAAGATAAAAATATTACTTTTTGTAGGCCTTGCTAATGTTTTTTTTAAAAATGAAAAGTAATGTTCCCCTCTAAAATAATGTTTAAACAAGAAAGTGAATGTGACCAAGTAGTACATAGAAATTGTTTTAAAGTGCTGACTGGACTCTAGTAGATAAAATGCACTTGACCTGATTCATAGTGATGTATACTGGAAAGGTTTCAGGCTTCCTGAAACAACATGGGACCAAGTTGTGGCTGTATCTCTGATGTAAATAAAGCATGTTGAAGGGAGTAGCCACTTCTTGCTCATCTTGCAAACAAACAATGCAGCTTTATTTTGCACAAAATTCCTAAGATTATTATTGCTTTCTGGAGGTAATAATCCATTCAATAAATAAATAAATAATGTGGTCACTCAATCCATAATGGTTTTTGGGAAGCTGCTGTGCGCAATTGGCTGCTGCGTTTAGCCCACAAAAGCAGTCAAACCATTTTACAATATCCAGTGATGCGCTTTGAGACGTCTCAACAGCGTGATAAGACGCTATCTCAAATGCAAGGATTATTAAGAGTGCAAACTCTGACAAACGTGTACATTAACAATTACTTAAAAGAAATTGTGGAGCCCATTAAAGATCTGGATAATGGACCAAATAATTTGCAGTACATCTGAAGATGTGCATTTTGCTTATTCCCTCTGTTGGTGACTAGGAATACTACATGTCTTAATCGTATATCCCCGCTGAATCCTTTGTGGATGATTTGTGCGTTCTTCCAACTCTGAATAACCACTCTACGTAAAATATACGGTATACATTTTGAAATGATAATTTCAAATTTCTCAAATTTTTAAAATGTCATGGCTTGGATTATTTGTAAGGGGTTAGATAGGGTAATACGGGGGAAATTGCAGAGACAATAGTAGTTTTAGCATTTGTTTCATTTACTACCTCTTAGGATTATATCAGATGTGATATTTTAACACTGTACTCTTGATTTCTTTTTGTTTCCCTTGACATGTTACTTTAATTCCAAATAGTCTATATTCCATACTGTGAAAATTATAACCATAAATCCAGTTTCTCTTCGAAGCGACAGAGATGAACCGCGTTTTAAAGAATTTCTGGGTTTAAACTTTTTGTTTAATAATATACTATGGCTTCTTAATGAAATATTTTTTACTATGATTTTTATGAGAACAATTTGTAAAGAATAGGCACAGATATCAGTATTTTCTTACCACTATACACTGTACATTTATATGATCTCACTAAAGAAAAACTTTACCTTTTAGAACGAGAGACTGTGTAACAACTGGAGAAAATGAGGGGAGACTTCATCTTTTACATTCAGTTTTGAGGTTTGGTTTTCCTACACTACGCAACGCATTGCAATATAGATTTTGTATCATGGGAGTAAAATAGTTGAATGTCAGAATGTGATGTGTTCAAGTTAAGAGCAAAATTGAATTACTTGCATATTGGAATCATAACGTTTTCGTTTGTCTGTCTGAGCTGTTCGGAAATAAACCAGAAAAAGATAGTATGAAGTTGGTATTCAAAGGCCTTCGTGATGATGATAGTCTGGTTGTTCGGGTAGTTTGAGATGCCTCAAATAGCTTCTCTTGTGAGCAGGATCTTAATCTATGTACAATCCTTTTTCCTCAAAATAAAATTTTGCACTTTAAATCCTTCTGGGCTTTATATTTGACACTAGCACGGACTTCGTACAAAGTGTAATGTGTAGAAATGGGGAAAGCGAGAGCTGGAAACGCTGGGCATGGAGGCGATGCGTACTGTTAAATACGATAAATAAAGGCTGACGAAGAATGGATCTGACTCTGTTTTATGCGTCGTTAAAAGCACTGAGCTGCCGTGGGTGGGGGTGGAAGAGCTACAGGGCGTCTAGTTACCCTGTTCGGGGGTGACGGACTGCCCGATTGCGGGCTGAGGTATAAAGTTTGGGCAAGACAGACAGAGAGGGGTTGTCTATTTTTTCCATGGTGGGGGGGGTTGGTGTCGAGTTGCCCTGTTGTGGTTGGGGATGTGTCTGGTCGCTCTGTTGGGGGAGTGGGGAGAGGGTGTCCATTTGCCCTGTGTAAGGGGAGGGGGTGCAGGAGCTGTCTGGTTGCCCTGTGGGGGGGTGGGTGGGTTCTGGTTGCCCTGTGGCGGGGGGGGGGTTCTGGTTGCCCTGTGGGGGGGGGTTCTGGTTGCCCTGTGGGGGGGGGGGGTTCTGGTTGCCCTGGTGGGGGGGGGTTCTGGTTGCCCTGTGGGGGGGGGGTTCTGGTTGCCCTGGTGGGGGGGTTCTGGTTGCCCTGTGTGGGGGGGGGGTTCTGGTTGCCCTGTGTGGGGGGGGGGGTTCTGGTTGCCCTGTGGTGGGGGGGGGTTCTGGTTGCCCTGTGGTGGGGGGGGTTCTGGTTGCCCTGGTGGAGGGGGTTCTGGTTGCCCTGTGGGGGGTTCTGGTTGCCCTGTGGTGGGGGGGGCGGGGCTTCTCCCGAGCCTTCAATGACGTAATCCGGATTCTCCAATGGCAGCAGCGCTGTGCCCGGCGGCTCGAGCCGCTCCGGCTGAGGTCGGCCACCGGGGGGCGCTGTGCCCAAACCAACAGTCCCGCCCCCTCCACACGGCTCGACGGGTCACAGCGGCCCCTGGTGGCCGGAGAGGAGAGGAGAGGAGAGGAGCGGCGCGCGGGGCGGAGGTGGGGGGTGTCCGACTGAATGAGAGCCGAGCGCCCGAGACGGTGGGGTCGAGGTCGGCGCGAGCGGCTGAATGTCGGGGGAGACGGAGCGAGTGGCCGCGCGGGTCCCCGGGGAGAGCGGCTCGGAGCCGGGGAGCGCGGCCGCCACACCGGGGACCGGGCCCGGGGCGGGGACCGGGCCCCGGAGCCAAGTCCTGGCCCGGGAGGTGGCGGCGTGTCTGTTGGCCGAGCCCCGCAGTGAGGTCGGTGAGGCCCGGGGGGGGGGGGGGCGGGCACTCGGGGTCGGGGCCACACACGGGCCTGGGGGGGGGGGGGGTGTGTGTGTGTGTGTGTGTGTTGGTGGGTGTGGGTGTGTGTGGGGGGTGTGTGGGTGTGTGTGGGGTGTGTGTGTTGGGGGGTTGGGGGTGTGTGTGTGGGGTTGTGTGTGGGCGGTGTGTGTGTGGGTGGGGGGTGGTGGGCGGTGTGTGGGTGTGGGTGTGTGTGCGTGGGGGGGGTGTGGGGGGTTGGGTGGGGGTGTGTGTGGGGGTGTGTGTGTGGGGGTGGGGGGTGTGTGTGTGGGGTGTGAGTGTGTGGGGGTGTGTGTGTGGGGTGTGTGTGGGTGAGGGGGTGTGTGAGGGTGTGTGTGTGTGGGGGTGTGTGTTGGGGGCGGTGTGTGTGGGGGGTGTGTGTGTGTGGGGTGTGTGTGTGGGTGTGTGGGGTGTGTGTGTGGGGGTGGGGTGTGTGTGTGGGTGTGTGTGTGGGTGTGTGGGGTGTGTGTGTGGGGGTGGGGTGTGTGTGTGAGGGTGTGTGTTGAGGTTGGGGGGTGGGGGGGAGGGGGTCGCTGACAGTTTGGTCTCTCCACGAGCGAAGCCCCTTTTCCTTCACAGTTTATTGTCATTTCGTTCATTCGTAACAATAACAATAATAACAATAATAATTACTATAATGATATAAAACTGGCATTTGATTGTGATGTTGAGATTTTTTTTATTACTAGTTATGATAATTAGTAATAATTAATCATTCTGAGGTTTTATCTGGAGGCTGTAACTCGATTGATGTGGGAGGGTTTTGGGGGTTTTTTGGGGGTGGGTTTGGGGGTTTGAGACTCACTTGACTCCTATGTGAGATTTTTTTTTTCCTAGTTTGCGAATTCTGCATCGAAATCCTCCCACTGATACTAATCCAGGACACCCGGTAACCAATAGTAATCAATAACCAATAGCCGTCCATGATAATCAATAACCATTCGTAACGATCGATCATTAATCAGGGGAAGTAATAATAGCAATCGCCGATCAATAATAATTAATAATCGTCGGCCATAAATAATAAGAAATGCGATCTGTTGTATTTATTTGCCGCGTTAAGAATGAGCCTTATTTCAATCTTGGTATTTTTTTTTGAAAAAAAATGTTCCAACAGCATAAAGCTGTACGTAGGATAAAAAATCCTACACGAGAGGTGTAATTGTGTGTAGGAGGGCAGCTGTTGAGACTGATGACTTCCGAACAAATCAGGTGTTGGAGGAGAATGTAATTTGTACGAACGCTGAAATGTTAGTTCTGTTGATAATTAAATACCCATCGTTCTATTTTCTCTTATACGGGAAATGTAGCACCTGAATTGCATTGAACTCGCAGTAGCATTGCAACCCGACTCATACCATACAATCATATACTTTACAGCCACCGACCACTACTTGTATGTATACAGTGCCCTTCACTCGTGTCGTGTCTCGGATCGTCGCTACGCGGTGGGGGGGGGGCGGCGGTGGGGCGTGACCTTGAGCTGGAAGGCGGGCGGGGTGGGGGCGAAAGGAAGGTGACTGAGGATACGTTAGCAATTTTTTTTGGGGTGGGAGAAAAGCAACCGAATTAAAATGCGGCGTTGGACCTACTCAGCTGTACCGTTTGTACAGTTATGTAGGTGCAATAATGCATTTCAATCCCAACAATTTTATCACCCAAATGCCGTACTTCCAAATGGAGTACTTGGGAGATCAATCGAAGTGTTAAGGAGCTGTGGGCTACGTTCAATCAATAAAAAATTTAGCTGTTTCATCTTCAAAGTAGGGGCAGCGTTTTTTTTTATTACATATCTAATTTTTTTTAAAAAAAACCCTCTTAAGACCATATTCTCCCCACATTTGCTGGAGGCGCTGTTGTGCAAAAGCATCTCCAGAATAATTAGGCCCTTTGTGTTCAGCGCGTCACCAATTCAAGGTTGCGGAAAAAATGGATCTTGGTTTTGCAAAAATCCCAGAGGGCAATTATTCCAGTGGGGCGTTTTGTTTCAAAACTCTGTTTGGACCTGAAATAAAGTATATGCGGGGCTTTTAGCAGAAGCCGCATCGATTGTGCCAACGCTTTCCACCGACTCAGCATTTGTACAGGAACCGGAACGCTTTACTCTAATGCATTAGTTGGCTGGCTGCCAAGCCCAGTGTTTTGTGTTATCAATAAAATGAGATATTGGATTTCCGGGGAGTTTTGATCATCTCGTGTTTCGTTCACCTAATTGCGTGGGCGTTAGAAAGATTTGCAGAACTATACCCTTGCTACTCGTGGAATGGGAATAGGTTATATATCAGGTTTAAGTACCTAAATGTATCAGGCATAGTAAATATTGAAACCGAAACGGAGAGAGCTGGGAAAACTCAGCAGGTCAGACAGCATCCACGGAGAAAGGAGCGTGAATCAACGCTTCAGGCCCACGCCCCTTCCAAAGTAAATAGTAAATATTGACTCTTGCTTGCTGCCTTTTCCTCCATTCATCTGTCCGTACTCAATCCATGTTGGATTAGATTCAATCCCCAGTTGTACACCTTTGGTTGAGAATGGTTAGAAGTGCTGTCATCCTGCACTATCCCCAGGCTCTGCTTTTTCATGACAAAATCTGTATTTTTTTTTGGTGGTTTGCTTTCTGGCGGTCATAATCCTTTCAAAAAAATACTAATTATTTGGTCACTCAGTACAAGACTGCTGTGTGCAGTCAGCTGCCGCGTTTTGCCCACAAAGTGGTCAACTTACAGTATATTCTGTGAAGCGCTTTGAGACGTCTCAATGATGCAATAATAATAATAATCCTTGCATTTGATATAGCGCTTGAATGAGATATAATTAGGAATTTTATACCTGGATCAAGGCATACATATATCAAAGTTGACTGTTCTCTTGTCTAGGCTCAGGAGCTTGATGAAAGTGTTGAAGAAATGTTAATCAGACTGGATGAGTTTTGTGGAATGTTGGATATGGTAAGTATTTTATTTCCTTTTAAACAAAAAATACTGCCGGTGCAGTACTTGGGACATTTAAAATACATCATACTTTTTTTTTTTTTACAGAGTGAATGATTGTCATTTTATATTGTGATGTACAAACGGCTTATGTAGTTTGTTCTGTTTGAGTGCTTCCAGAGCTTAGATTGAGCAGTTACAAAGCAGAATTTGAGCCCTGGTGATCGGGGCTATACTGAATTTTACCAATTGTCTCCTGACACTTCTAGATTGATGGGGCTGGAAGAGTATCCTGAGCTTTGGGGAGACACATACAGTGGTTTTCTTTTGGAGCTAGAAAATGGATTATTCGAAAATCCACTTGCAACCCGAAAAATACAAACAGTTCTGGTTGGGCAAGACTAAATTAATAACTGGCACACATGACCAAAACAACCGATCGGTTGGTCTGAGCCGTTTCTTAAATAGAGTTGTTACGTTTTTAATAGCTGGCCAACTTGAAACCCAATGAAGTAACTCTTTCTTCTCGTGTTCATTCCTGGAGCTGGAAAACTGGAACAGAATAAACCATTTCTATCACACAAATTGTTTTCATTTGCACATGGACCATCTGTTTGTGTGCACCAGCAGACAATTCTCCGGCTACCGCATGGCTAATCATATTTGCGAGGACCATCTGCAAGCTTGCTGCCCCGAAGGGTTTTTCTTCCCCTTGATTCTTGCCCATCGAGACTCCTAATGAAACTCTTATTACCTGCGATTCTACAACCGCACTGTAGACGTCTGCCTACTGGATAAAGACTTTAAATGACTTCATGTAATTCAGACACTATTCAGTTTACATAGTTTCTGCATAATGATATAAAATGCACATCGATAAGAAAGCTGGAATAGAAGATGGGCAGTGAATCCCACTATCACAAGACTGTTCGGATAACCCACATGAGGGTCTTGCTGTTTTTTTTTAGCACCTGGTACAGCCTGTTGCAATTGTAAGCTGTGAGTAGGAAGAGTGTTCTGGACTCAAAATAAGATTCACTTGCTCACTAAAAGTAACGGTTTGTCCTATCCGTCCTAAAGAAAAGGCAGATAAAAGGGAAGTTAGTTTAGAAGAAAGTGCATTCACTGGGATATCTGGAATTATAACATCTTTAAACTTGAGGGTTGGTCCTGCTTGTAGGAAAACATGTTTGCGTCAGCAGGAAGCTGACTCCATGGGAGTCTTCTAATGTATATCATGGTCAGTTTCCTGAAGAGAGTTCCAGTTGCATTAGCCAAAGCCGTATTTATAGAAATTAGCCCCTGGTTTGGTCTAAACTGTACTTTTCAATGATCCCACATTTAAATTGAAAAGGCTGAAGTCTGAATCATTTGGCAAAGTCTGCTATTATTGGGCAGGGGTTGAAGGGAAGTACTCAGAACATTAGTTTTTCATAAAGGAGATGGTTTCCTAAAAATGTTGAACGCCTAAACAAATGAGACTCGACTGAAATTTTCCCTTTCTCACAGATTCGAAACGATACTTCGCAGATTCTAAGTGAAGACATTCCAAACACAAAGGTCAAGGTATTGGAAATGAAGACGGTTTATAAAAAAATTGATAAAATAGAGGTTTGCAACTTTTTAAAAAAAAAACGACTATTTTGTGAATGCCATGACATTGAAATATAAGTGTAAAATTGTACCTTACAGATTATAGTACTGCAGCATAAACGGTTGAGCGCTTTTTAAGAAAAGCCTTTAGAAGGTGAGATCTGTTCACTCAGTCCCTTTGCCCCAGTTATTCATGACCAAGATTTACGTACACCATCATTAACTCTCTTGGCTTCATACAAAGTTTATATCTATTAAATTAAATAAATTATGTATGAGAGCAGCCGCAGTGGTGAGTGGATAGAGCTACAGTTCACGGCCCAGAAACTCGCTGGCTCGAATCCCAATCTGTGCTAATCTCATCCAGGGTTGTATGGCCTCGACCGTTCCGTGATTGGGGGGAGGGAAAAACTAGCCAGATTTCCTCCACCTGGTCCCTCTTCACCCTCGACTGGTTTCTTTGGTGCGATGCCTTCTACAATCGATCGGAATGCCGCCGCTCATTGCCGAGGCTCACCGGCCGCTGGAGCAAAACCAGCCTCTGTGGAACCGCAGCCCAGGGGAGACCAGACCAAAGAGGGGTGCGCCAGCGGAGAGCATGTTAGAAAACAAAATGGACACACTAAATTTTTATTTTTTTCAAAAAGTGTTCCGGTCGGAAGAACTTAATTTTAATTTTCTTATATTCCCTTTTCCAAGTCTGCAAAACTAACATTTGCATACGTTGCTTGCTTGTGTTAACAAATGTGTTGATACCCATTCAGGTCCTCGGAAAGATTCATATTGCATTAGTTTTAATATCAATTTCTCTAGCATCTTTGTGCTTTACTCTAAATCTTTTCAATTGCTCTGATGGGTTTTATGAATCTTTGCACCATTCCCAGAAATTGCAGTCAACCGGAAGTGTTGTGGTTGCAATTTAGCATCTTATTCGTTTGGTATTATGTAAAATCTTGTTTTAAGTGCAGCAACGTGGATTCTTCATATGGAAGGTACTTTGTTGTTGGTTTAATTTTGTCAGGCGTTTGTGAAAATGGTCGGACAGAATGCAGCTATGCTAGAGGAACAAGTAGTTCGAGCAGAAAAGGATTATGGAAATTTCCCTTGTGGTGTTTGCAAACTTCTACATTCAATCAGTACTCCGGCATTCCTACATGTAAGTTATTGAATGCTGTATTCTTTTTCTGTATTCAGTGCTGTTCCACAATGATATTAATTACCGCTGGGTTTTTGAGCTCATGATTGACAGCAGCTCATTTAGTAAATTATCTTTCGCATGGTCCACAAATGTTTTTTTAAAAATTTAAGTTTGTTCAATTATTTTCTGTTTTTTCCCCCCCGTGTGCTGACGCCGGCTCCACAGGCACTGGTTGCTCTCTCTCCGCTATCCCTCCCAAGTGGTCAGTGAGTTAATGAGCCTTGCAATGAGTGTCGCCAGACCATTCAACTGTAGAGGCGTTTAATTGAACCTGACCTCTCCACACCCAGCTGACACACACAAGCACTACTGCTGGAGGAATAAAGCTTTGGGTGGCTTTCCCTTTCCTGGGAAAATACTATCCTGCCAATTTAACCTCTCCACGTAGCCCTGACCGAGACCAGCAAACTAAGCTCAGCACAGGCCAGGATTCGGACCAGCGTGGACTGTAAGCTGTCGCTCTACCCACTGCACGCTCCAGGCTGCGAGTAGCTTCAGTTCTGCCAATGGCTAATGGTTTCTGGTTCGGTTTTGATTTTCTTTGTGGTTCAAACTACCCATTTAGTTTTTTGATAGTCTATCATTATAACCAAATCAACATTTTGAAGATGCCACTGGCGTAAGAAGTCAGCTCTATTCCGGTGTTTGTACCTCTTACTTTAGTGTTTCTTTGTTACAGAAGAAACGCACATTCCTCAACCAACAGAGTTCGACATATGAGCTGCCCAATTTATACAGGAGCGAAGACTATTTTCCTGGGAGTTCCAATCCAGGATACCTCAAAAAGCCAAACACCTGACTGCTTGCCATAAAACAGCAGGAAACTATTGATCGTAACACTGACACTGATGTGAAGTTGTATGATGGACATTGCCTGCAATTTGTGTTTAGTCACATACTAGTCTCAGCTGGATCGAAGTCAATATGTACAAAGAATTTTTCAGTGAGAGATAGTAGTACTGCTTATTGCCTTTATACCAAGACTACATCCCACAGCTAATCACTTGCAAACAGTTTTGTGGAAGTGCATTCAAACAGTCACCCAAAGCGTCTAATTTACCATGTTACAGAGAACCTGATTCAGCTGAAACGTGTCCTATAATCAAGCTACTAGCCAGCAAGTCTCTTGTTTGGTTGATAATTTAAGCACAAACAAATTTAATTGATCAGGAAAATTAATGTCTCCATTATCGGAAGTAATTCAGAAAAAAATCTTAGCATATTTTAAAGAACGGCTTTCCTTAATTTGACAACATTTTAAATGCGTGTTTTTGATTTGTGGAATAAAGATGCTTAGAAAATGAAGCTGATCGCACGTGTATTCAACCATGCGACTTCAATATTCTGAATGCCCTCCCAATTAAATATCCTTGAATAGAGTTCCACGTCAGAATTTAGAATCACGCGGTCTAAGCTGACATGCCAGTGGCGGTGGGGGGGGGGATTAACATGAGACGTTAAACCGAGATCTTGTCTCCTGTTCTTGCGGATGTTAAAGATCCCGTGTCATTGTTTGAAAATAGAGTTTCTCCCAGATTTGACAATGTCTGGCACATAATTTAACGAGGCAATGCAAAATTAATTTTAGAACGTTCGCTGCTTTAAAGCTATGCAGCATTTCCCCATAAATTCCAGATTTGAAGAGTAGTTTGTATTAACTTTTTTTTAAAAAAAAACACTTCTGTAATGATTCAGGTGGCCTCGGTGCAAGGATGTACCAATTCTTCACCTGGCAGTGGTGAACTCGTTCTGTACTGATGATTCACTATTTGTCAAGTTTCTGATCTCAGCTCTTCAAAAACCTGACAGGTGAGTTTCTAGGCCATTCTTACTTATTTTCTGATGCCCAATTTATAGTACCACTGTCCAAGAAGCAAGTGTGCCTTCCTGTTTTGATCTTCACCAAAGGAGAGAAGACAATGTTGTGAGAAACCTGTAAAGAGTTTACATGTTCTGATTGATCATAACCTGTGATAATTCGCTTGCGATTACAGCATTCTGTAAAATTCCTTGAGAATGGCCCTCGTTATATTCAAACACAAAGTTTTATGATCAGTGTGAAAAATATTTTTTTGCAATTCTGTTTGTACGTCTTGGTTGGTTACGGTTTAAGTTCATACATTTCCTGTTTGCTTCTCTGGGAGATTTGCAACTTTGTAGTAAAATAAATCTGCTCTGCAACATTGCGAGTGATTCAATGCAGCAGTAGAGCTTCCTGTGCCCTTCACTGCTGCGTTTCTGTCCGTCTGTCGTCAACAGTACATGTAAAGACAACAAACAAAAAAAAACACTCACAATTATGCAAAGGTTCATTTTGTTCACATTTTCCTACTTGTCAGTTTTTGATTGTCCAATTAAACATGAAAACACCATCAGAATATTCCTCTTATCGGCTTCTCCCCATCAATAGAATAACCTTTGTCCAAATTCGATGAATCACGTTTAAAAAAAAATAACAGTTTGGAGATCCCCTCACCAATTGTTTACCTCTTGTTTTTCCTTCAAGAACAATAGGACTACTAACAATACCATCCGCCGCTCCCTCTCCAGCTACTTTAGCTGGTTTCAGAAATATACAACATGCATGGAATCATCCCCTGTTGAAAAGTGAGGCAAGTACAATAAAACTACAGTAATATATGCAACTTTACGCTTTACAAGACTTTATCCTAATAAATTCTTTATTTGAATTTTTTAAAAAAAGCAATATTATCCGGTAAACAAAAACAGAAGTTGCTGGGAACTCTCAGCAGGTCAGGCAGCATCTATGGAGAAAGGAAGGTGAGTCGACGTTTCGGCTCCACGACCTTTCATCAGAACTGGGGCACGTTGGGGGGGGAAGAGGCTTTTAAGGACTAACAGTGAGGGGAGAGGCAGGACAAGGAAGACAAAGGAGAAATGGGGTAGAGGAAGGGGATGATGGGTTAAAGAGGTGTTAAAATATTATTATCCTAGTATTGTCCCAGATTTGCTTTATTAAAACAATTTGTGTGCAACTAATTATAGCCAGTGGATTCATGGAAGGGAAACAGTTAAACAAGGCAAAAGTATGCACCGGAAAAAAAGTTAAAACCGCAAATAAAAAGCGTTGAATTTAATTCTAGTTGAAATTGGATTTTCAAACATGTTCAGAAAACTGATTGGTTTGTAATTAGCCGTTCGGATGGTCAATGCTTTAAATGAAAGTTTCTCACCTGCAAAAGGGCAAAAGGATGTACGGAGTGTCAGATGCTCTTCTGAGGTTGGCAATGTTTCAAAGTATGTTTACAAACAGTTTGTTGAGTTTGACAACAGAATAGGGGTGTATGTGCATCAAGCACTCCCTTCAATCATACTTCTGTTTTGATACAATCTAAATTTTGCATTTTAAAGTTTTTAAACTTATAGTTTTAAGTTTAAAACCTTAAAACCACCTGATGGAAGAAAAAAAAAGCCAATTGCTATTGCAGCTTGCATGGGGGTAATAGAAACTAGCAATAACTTTTGAAATGAAAACTGTGCCCTTGCCTGGCGTGGAGTCCTGTAGCTCAGTGGTTAGAGCACTCGCTTTGCAAGCGAGAGACCGGAGTTCAATTCCCGGCAGAGGGCGAAACCTTGGGCAAGTTTCCTTACTCCACACAGAGCCTAATAATAATCCCTCCAAAACCAAAAACAATAATAAAAATTGGTCATTTTCAATCTACGACTGTTTGTGGGACATTGCTGTGCGCAATTGGCTGCCGCGTTCGCCCACAAATATAGTCAATTCACTTTACAGTGTGTTCTGTGAAGCGCTTTGGGACGTCCTCCCGACGTGAAAAGCGCTATATCAAATGCAAGGATTATTATTATTATTATTAAAACTGGAAGTTAGATACATGTCTAGCTTAACTCCCAACTCATCCTCACATTCAGATTCCCCCACAGCCTTGCCTCACACAGCAGCTCAGGTGAAGTCGCCACTTTTAAAGTGTGCCTTAAGATCTATCTGTTCAAGCACACTTCCAGGCAGTTTTACTCTTCCCACCTGCTTCAGGTCTGTGAAGCACTTTTGAGACATCCTTCCCACATGAAATTTAGAATTAAAATAAAGTGGGGTTGCAGAAGATTCAACGTAAATTGCCAATGTTTGTTTGGATGGCACATGGTTTAAATCAACATGGCTGATTCATGAAGACTCCCAAGATGGGAAAGTGCCTATACTCACTGACTTATTAGGCAGGTACAAATAGTTTAACATCCAGAAAAAGAATATTTTTTCCCGCATAGGGCCACATATTCCAACTCCCATCTTTTTAAAAAAAGGCTAAAGGTAAAATGTCACATGCCATTATTTTTAAATTGATCTGACAAAACATTAACTGAGTAATACAAACAAAGCATCATCATAATTGAACTTTTCCCTTTCCACACTGCCATTTATTTACGCAGTCAAAGCTATTAATGTTGAATTTATACATTCTTCAACCTGAGACTAGAAAACTACAGAATGTTGGCAATAGATAAATATACAAATTTATTGGAAGTGATACAAGACAGAGGTAACGAGGCTCTAATATTAGAAATGTACATTCCAATTACAGAGTAAATGAAGTCAATAGCACCATGCACTATATACCAATTAAGTACATGTTGGCCTTTCACTACCAATGTTTTTTTTTACCAAATATGGAAGCTCATTGCTGTGAACTTGTTTTTAACCATAAGATTCGATTTGTAAATTTGCTATGAAATATTTTGAAGTGTGACTTAACGAGAAAATTTTTAGTTGGAAGTGTAAAAATGGTTTGAATGAACTGTTGAGGGGCAACTGCATTCAAAATTATCCTTAAATTCACAATGTAAAATGGTCACACAATTGTACGATAAAGCATTTTATTTTCCAGAAGTGTAAATGAAAAGTACAAAGGAAAATAAAGATCACAAAAATGAAATTTACTACACAGACACTATTACATAGATGATACAATGTATACAAACACCACAGTGGTGTTCATCCCCTAACATATAACCGTGAAATAGGCAAAACCCAGCATTTCTAAATATTTGCCACGTTTTACCCAATTCACAACTTGTGCTGATTCAAAACATAAGTTAGTGAAATCAGCAATATTATGAATTTCATTTCTAACTCTGTAAGTAATTTAAGTTGAAGGGAGACTTTTAAAAATGCATTAACATTTGAAATGCCAGTAACCATCAATATTTGAGCAAAGGATACATTAAACAGCAATTTGCCATATTACAGTAAGGCCAGTTTTTATGTTCAGTAAGCTACTGGCCAAATGCTACCAAAGTTGTATAAGGATATGTGCAATAAAAACTAGGTTTATAATAATGTTGACAGACACTACAGCACAACCTCCTTCAAGCAGTTATCAAGTGGACTAAATGCTGCATTTATTTAACAGCAGAGGTATCACTAAAAAAAGGTGAATCATACAGTAAATCTAGAACAAGTACACAAGACCTATACGATAAGCTTCACTTAGAATGGCTCTAAAAGACTGTAGAAATATACATTCCAGCTACGCAGACCGAGTAAATGAATAAAAGAAACTTAAAGGTCTTATTGAAATCTATAGTACAGTACACTGTAAACCAGTAAGTAAATTGGCCTTTCACTACCATAGGTAAATGAGAAAACATTTAGAAAGTAAATTACAATATGCCACTTTTGTACAACTGTAAAGCAACCTGGAGGCAAAATGCAATGAAACTTGCTGCATTTTACTGCCTCTTCTGTCTGTAATTTTTGTACCTCTGAATAGTCCTTCAAATTTTATACACTGGCTCCTTTCACTTTAAGATACTGCACACATTTCACAACAAAGACTCCAAAGCAAGTCCATCTTCTATGCAGGCTGGCTACTCAATCCTACACCAGAAGATGAGCCACAAACAGGTTCTGCCACATTTTCTGAAAGACCATCATTTGACTGATCAAGGAGTTGATCGAGCTCCTCACCTTCACTATCTGCTGGGTTACCTTGCCACTCCAACAGTGGGTTAGACAAACTTTCCTCATTCTCTGGTGAAACATTCTTCCATTCGGGTTCTTCTTTGGACCACTTTTCCTCTTCATTCTGAAATGGTTCCCCACTCCACTCAGACGGTCCTTCAGCCCAGTGCTGCTCATCACTTCCTAATGCGATATTTTCTTCTAATGGCTGTTGTGTCGGCTCCTCCTCACCACTTTGGGATGCATCATCTGTCCAAGGTCGTTTGATCCAAAACTCTTGTTTGAGTTCAGGTGAAACATCCTCTAGGTCAGATGCTCTCGAAACCAGTCCATCTTTACATTCTGACAAATCTTCAGATTCCTCACTTTCTGATTCTTTATCTTTTGATTCTGAAGACGGCTCAGGACATTGTTCCTCTTCCATGTTTGATTCGTCATCCTTCAGTGCCAATGGTGCAGTTTTCACAAATGGACACTTTGTTGTAGGCTTTTGCAAGTCATTACTTAACCCTTCGGAAATAATTTCAGAGATTTCATCTCGAGACTGAAAACCACCCATTTGGGTTGATGGCAATTCTTCAGCTGCACAAGTATTAGAAGCACTTTCCTCACCTTCATATGGGCAAAGATTTGAAGCGCTCTCCTCTGCCATATCAGGGCTCATATTTGAAAGGCTTCCCTCCGCCATATCTGGGCTTAAATTTGAAGGACTTCTCTCCGCAATATCAGGGCTTAGATTGGAGGGACTTCCCTCTGCTGTAACTGGGCTGAGACAGGAAGGACTTCCCTCCACCATAATTGGGCTCATTCGTAAAGGACTTCTCTCATTTTTCTCAAAACTCAAATCTAAAGCACCTGCCTCCTCTTTTTCTGGCCTTGGATTTAAAGCACCCGATTCCACTTTTTCTGCAATTGAACTTGAATCAATTTCTGCATTTTTCGGGTTGGAAATCAAACTAACTCCCTCTACTTTTTCTGGGTTCAGACTCGAGGAACTTTCCTTCACCCTCTCTGGGTTGGAATATGAAGCTTTTTCACCCACTTTTTCTGCATTTGAGCGGGCAGATTCCTTGCCGTCTCCTTCATTGATGTTCACCTTATTCCAAGTGGATGCAAAGTCCATATTGTGTTTAACTTTTCGCAATTCCATCATATTAAATCCAAGCAGCACTTTAGGTCTGTATTTCTCACAGTCCCGGACACATTTCTTCCTCTTATTGCTGAAATGTGAAGCAATATCTGATTTCCACAGCCATAAGCCAGCTGCCAACTTTTCAATTTCCCTTCTGTTTGGGTATGGTTGCTTGTTAAAATAGTTTGTGAGGAACATTTTTCTGGCTTCATAAGACTCATCTTCGTATCCCTTGGGATCAATAGCTAAAACTACTGGTTCTTCCGGCTTGTCATCTCCCAAGGTAAAACTCTGAAAAGCTTCCTCGCCATCCAACTTCCTTTTCTTCATTAAAGCAAAGTCTCCATATTCATACTCATACTCACGTTTCATGGGCATTACACTTGGTGAATGGGTCACCTTGGAATGAGCAAGGCTCCGCTCTTGACCATTTTGTGCTTTTCCAACACCTCTACAATGCACCAGATGTAACGTTATTGTGGAAGCAGTCATGTTGCTTGTGTAAACTCCCAAACAGTGAATGCATTTATAGGTGAGTTTTTTCTCCACTGGATGAATGGTTTGTATTACCTGATGCCGTTCCCTCAGATGGTGAGCCAGAGCATCCGATATGGGGCCTTTCAAAATAGAAAAGCACAAAGGACAAAGGGTTTTTCCAACATCATTTTTATAGGGTATCTGGGTTTGAGGTAAAGAATTCAAATCTGGCTTTCCTTTAGCCTTGGCTTGCGGTTTTGGGTGCGCCTGCCCTTCTGGTTTTCTGAATGTTAAGTTATGACTCGCGGGACGATAAGATGTATTCTCCATTGAGGCACTCTCAGAAATGCTGTATGTAGTTACAAGTAATTGTATATTACTGCGACTACCTTTTTGTGTAGACAAATCAAAAGTTAACGTTGATTCAGTCTTAGGTCCTACTTCTTCATCAATGTGAAGGATTCGTACATGCTCAGCCATCTTTTCAACATCATTAAAAGTGGAACGGCAGTAAGGACACGATAGCCCATGTATAAGCATGTGGTTCAGCAATGTTTCACTGGGTAAATATCGGTTGCAATAGAGACATTTGCTTGTGAAACTATTAATCTTCTGAATGTAATTAGCTACAGCTTGGATCTTTTCAGCCTTATGCTCCTTTTCAAAGTGTATACTGTACACACTTTCTGGAAAAAGCTCATTGCACATTGTGCAGATCTTCCACTTTTGAGCAGCAGAGCCCAAGGCAGAGCTCTGACCAGAATTAGCTAAACCATGGGAGGTTAAAGTTGCTTTCGCAGAAGAAGCAGACAAACCATGGATCCTTTGAGACATACCATACTGTGATTGTTTCAATGACAATTGACTTGATGCAGCATTACCGCCAGTCAAGCTTCCAAACTGCATCTGATGTCGCCTTTGTTCCGCACTAACCCCGTACGGCCTTCCATTACCACTGGACATTAACTGCTTCACTGTTTGAGAACGCTGAAGAGAAACGGGTAAACCACCTGGCAGTGGGAGCCTCATTTGTTGCCCCAAAGAATAGCTTTGTGCCATTGAAGAAATAGCATATTTTGGTGGCAAACGAGCATTACCTGACATAAGGTTGACAGCAGAATTCTGTGCGTTTTTGGACATGGATATACGATTCATATTATGCTGCATTGTTGAACTTTTCATGCTGTGATAATTTGGATTGCCAGCTAGAGAAAGCTTATCATGTGGCTTTGGAGCTATCATCATCAAAGGCTTTGATCTTGGTACTACCACATTTGTGTGCCCTATCATTGCAGTCACCTGATAACCTACTCGCTCATGGTCTTCAATAACATGCTGTACCAAGGCCTCATAAGTTTTAGGCATGAAAAGACATCGTTTGCAATGTACAGTCCCATCTTCACGTCCATTAGATGCAGAAAATGTGCCGTTTACAGACTTATCTCCTCCTCTTGCCACGTAAGGCGATGCCATATGTTGAAAATGTTCCCTGTAAATATGTTTTCTGACAACATCATAAAGAGGATCTCGATAGGTACATTTCTTGCAGTAATACACTGCTTGCTCCACACTGTCAGCATGTTTCATTTTAAGACTGTTGTCAAATTTCGACTTTTCACTGTGCGCATTCTTGCCCCCACTAGGTACTTTCCACAAAGGAACGTGAAAAATCTTAATATGGGTCTCCAAAGTCTTTCTGTCAGCATTGTATGGACAATAAGGGCAATTTATGAGGATTTTGTTTTCAAAATCTTCATTGTGAACATTTCTGAAGTGGCTCTTGTAGGCAGAAAAGAATTTCGATGCAAACGGACAAGCACTGCAGCAAAATGGTTTTGTACGATAATCCTGAAAATGTAAAACAGCAACTTTAGTCGCGATATTCTGAATAAATAGTCAATAGGACCAGCAGATATTTGCTGTGCGCAATTGGTTGCTGCTTCTCACCCACTTTACAGTATAATCTGTGAAGAGCTTTGAGACATCTCGAAGACATGAAAAGGCAGTATATCAAATGCAAGGATTATTGTTAATATGTGCAGTTTTGTCACTGAATTTATAATTAAAAGTCCCTACAGTTTTGTAAACAACACCATGGATATTTTTTGATTACTATTCCTACCAAAAATATTTTGTCCCAAATTACATTAAAATTGTTTTAATGTACATTACACTGCATCCTATAAGGTACTTTAGTCTCAGTCAATATGTCACAATAGGACAAGTGTTTTTCTCATGTAAATTGGATTCTACTCTATCCATAGTAACATTAAAGCTTGACAATTACTAAATATGTCGCAAAAATACAAGAGAAGTACAGAACCGATTACAAAACTCTGGTCACTTTTCATGAGGGTCTTGTCCATTCAAATACATCTAGGCTCAGCTGAAAATTGCTGTATTCCCTGTTTTGGTAAATATCAGCCTGTCCTTATCCAAATGAGTTTAATAAAATCGACTAAATATAATGGCATATAATACATGTGCCTCAAAGTTTGACCTAAGTTGGCTTGGTTATTACATACTCGTATTTAAAAAAAATTAATTCTCAGGTCAAACATCCATCAAATTGTGCTAGAGTGCTTAGCTAGAAACTGTTCTAAAATAAATCATGAATGGATTGTTAAAAAATATCCTAGCTAAGAGCCATGAATGGTACATTCTTACTTGAAGCCTGTAAGTCACCCAGAAAATGCACAATCACTCCAATTTACAGTGCATCCTGTCAAGCGCTTTGAGACGTCTCGCCGACTGACATGAGGTGCTATATCAAACGCAAGGATTATTACTCTTAACATTATAGTATGAATAAGGCTAACCTGCAGTTTTGTAGAAGAAGGGTCCCAAAGTGAAACATCATCCCACGTAGTGTTCTTCAGGTAGAAGTCATTTGGTTCAAATTGTTTAAAATCCTGAAAACACATTTCAGTTGCCTATAAAATTCAATACCATTTTTACAGCACCTACAATGTTGGAACACTTTAGAGCAATTAATGACACAAGTAGCGACCTACTGAATTCACCATCACTGGAGGCAAATGCAAACCATTTGGTAATGAATGAACACAAGGTAAAACATCAGAGCAGACTAGTACAAAAGGCAGTTCTCCAAAATATTCTCCTTCTTCTACTTGAGCGTGTCAGAACTTTCAGGTATAAGAAACAAACTCTCCCTACAAATTTCAGAAAAGAACTTTCCATTGCATCAATGTGGCATAATCAATGGTAGTTATGTTTTGAATGTCTCTGCCCAAGAGTACATCAGCCGCCATTCAGTTCTTTAATGAAAATGCCTTATCCCATTAGTCTGATATCAACTCCATTCCCTCCTCCCTTGCAGCCTAAAAAAATTCTACTTACCTCTATATGATCTTTGCAATAATCCAATCCAATATCTGTGAGGATCTTTTTCACTGTTTTACGAGCTTTTCTTAGATTTGCAAGGTTGTTGACAGGAAGCTGGTACATAATTCCTGTTTGGAACAAGACTAATGAATCATCTTTATGCCAATATTATCAAACTTCTCAGGTTACTGGTGTTATAATTCAACAGAAGATGCATAATAACTGTGAAACGCGTGTGCAACTACAGCATTCAGTGTCTATTCTGTTTTCCCAAATTCCATGACCCCCCAAAATAATAATTTCTATACGATCAAAAAAGATAAAATATAATCCTAGTTGCATTTGAACCGACCAAATCAGGATTGGTGAATGGTCAGATCATTTGCAAACTGATCACCGAATTACAGGTGTAAATGGATTATATGGGAGTAGAAAACCGCACAATGCAGCCTACTGAAGTGTTCAGTAGATTTCAATCAAATGAATCGATGTGAATTTCAAGGCGAGATGCATTGTTGTACAACCACGTCACATGATAACGCAACATACTCCTGTTGTACGTTTTTTATACCTCCCCACCCAGACCACTGCTGTCCTGACAGAATGTCTGTCAGACATCAAGTCCTGGATGAGAGCTAACTTTCTACGGTTGAACATCAAAAAGACTGAGGGCCTCCTGATTGGCGCCTGTCAACGCCTCTACACCTCAGGCACTGACAGCATCACTATCCAAGGATGCACACTCCATACACGGATTCATAACATCCAGGCTCGACTCTGCAAACTCCCTGCTTGTCGGCCTCCCCAACTCCTCCCTCCATAGGCTGCAGATTATCCAAAACTCTGCAGCCCATGTCCTCTCCCGCACCGGGCTCCGTGACCCTATCATCCTCACCCAACTCCACTGGCTTCCCACCACACAGGATACAATTCAAGATCCTGGTCCTCACCTTCAACGTCCATGGCCTTGCTTCCCCCTACCACTGCAACCTCCTAAGCCCCTATCAACCTGCCCGCTCAGTAGACTCTGGCCTCTTCACATCCCCCGCCTCACCCGGCCCACCATTGATGGGAGTGCCTTAATGCTCTCTGCCCCCTCCCTTTGGAATTCCATCCCGCAGTCCATCCGCCTCACCCTCTGCCTTGCCTCCTTCAATACCTGCCTCAAGACCCTCCTCTTCGTCCCAGCCTTTGATCACCCTCCTTCCAACCCTGCCCTCTATCCTCCCGACCCCCAGCTCGAGTCTGAAACACTGATTGTCCAGCACCTTGGGACATCCTCCTGACATGAAAGGCGCTATACAAATCTAATTTTGTTGTTGTTGTAAATATTTTTACGATAATAATTGTCCAACAAAACAAATTTGATGATTTCAGCTGTGCTTTGGCAAAATGTGAAGCAAAGATCAAGACATATCTCAATGGAAATCGAAAACCTGAGGTCAGCACTGGGTTACGCTGCACAACTCCAAGTGGTTGCCTCGTATCAGCACTGGCAGAGTCTAGAGAGTAGATAAATTGCTTACTCTCACAAAACAGCTGTTGTATAATCTGGAAAGGCCAGAGAGAAAGGAAAGTAGGAAAGGATACAAATCTGTAACCTCCTGTACAAATTGAATACATATAACTAAATTCATACCAGGATTGGTGAAATAATAATTATTTTATCGGTCTTTCTCAAATAGGGAATTCGGCCTGAGACAGCCAAAAGTTGGACTACCCTGGCCTAGACAACCCAAATCTGCACTATTTATTTTCAGTCACTAACTCTTAACGGTTACCACCTTAACAAAAGTTAAGCATCAAAATATTGCCTGCTTAACACTTTATTTTTTGGGGGTTAGTCTCCTCTTCTCCGGTACAGAGAAGAGCTTCGATGTTCAAGCTCTGGTATCCTCACCTAAGAGGCTATTTCTCATGCAGCAGCCTACAAAGTGTTGCATAGTTTTCAATTAAAGGAATCAAACACAAAGCCAATCCTATTCTCACCTATGCTAAAACATATAGACTTCCATTTCCAGGAGATTTCTAGTGAACAATCAGGAGCAGGAACGCTGGCTGCTTTTCATCTTCTCCACAACAACAAATTACATTTGTACATAGCACCTTTTACGTGGGAGGATGTCCCAAGACATTAAAGACAACTGTAACTCAACTGAAATTAGCTAACTCAGCAAATGCTAGGAATCAAATTGGCAACTTTCTGTATGGCTTAATGTTGCACAAAGGGTGCAGTGCAACACCAACTCGCATTTATATAGCGCCCCTCACACAAGGTAGTGCCAGAGCGCTTACCCAGTTACACACAAGATCGTGAACGACATCGGTTGAGGAAACACATTGTGGCTTGGGGAAGCAAAAGTTCAAAATTTAAAGTGAAAGCAAACGAAAGATGGCTACACAATCTCAAACTAGAATTCCTAAAAATAAGAAAAAAAATTCTTCTTTAAAATGCAACTGGGGAATACTACCAAGAAGTGCCTCACAATGCCTCATCATATTGCAATGTCTCAAAGTGCTTCACAAGCAACTACTGTCAAGTTTAACAGTTGTAGGAAAACCCAAGTTACCATTTTAGTCAGCATGTTCCCACAAATTATGAGGTTTTTGAACTAATGAATCTGAAGGTACTTGGCCAGGTTACAAGAAGCTCCCTGCCCCAAGAACAGCTATCATCTGACCTTTTAACATTCACCTCAATGGAAGGTGGGACCTTGGTTGCCACTTCCAACAACTCATCACATCACATACATCCCCATGAACTTTCAGCTCTCATCCCAGTGTGTCTCTTAATTGAACAACCGAAAGGACTACAAGTTGAGCCAAATAAACCAGAAAAGTTCACTGGTTAAAGAATTAACCTTTTTTTTAAGAAACCATCTTCTCTCCAATCCCCTGGTTTCAAGTTGTAACACTGCAGCCCATGGACAATTTCTGGAAAGGGGTCAAAATTGCGTTCAAACTGCTGAATTTACTTCAATCAAATACACGTTTTTCTCTCTTTAAAATACTGTACAATGGGCTTCCCAATCTACTAGATAATGCCCAGTAGCTCAACTACTGTCTACTCCAGAATCAGAAACTCTCCTTTTGTAAGTACTCAGCAGTTGAAACACCGTTAGTTTCTGTTCATCAGCCTCCGCTTTCCCCCACAGTCAAATAGCCTACCAATATTAATTATCCAGGCTCACCCACAAAGAATGGTCATTTGTTCAATAAACCAGAGAAAATTTAAACAAAATTGTTACAATTTTTTTTTTAAAAAAGTAAGTTTGTACAAAACACTGGATGGAACTATTGTCAGAACTATACATTTAAAACATTTCTTGTCAGGGTTCAAAATAATGGGGAACCCAGATACCAATTGCTTTTAGCTGATGAGCAAAACTGTTTACAGATACTGAATAATATCTAAAATAATAAATAGAATTAAAAATGATACTTTTCTGGGAAGAAAGCAGAATTTCTAGGTACATCTTCCTCAATAAACAAGTGTACTTATTAGAAATCAGTATGTGGGACTTAACTACCAGTATACAATGCAAAGACAAAGAAAATATAATATGCAACACAAATAATAGATGAATATTCTTACCTGCACTTTTTCCTCCCTAGATACAATGTTTGCTGATATGGAGAATTCTGCAGGAAAGAAAATAAATTAATAAATTTACATACTTTAGAATAACATGGTGAACATAGATTAATAATTGACTAAAATTAATAAAGCACATCAGTTTTGAAGTTTCTACCAAAGAAATGGATGCATAAGAGTTCAAACGTGCAGCCTTAGAGATGACAATTTGACAAAGTAATTGCTTGCTTTAACTTGACAAACTAATTTAATAAAAATTGGAAGCCACAACTAAAAATGCCATTGATCAGATACTGCTTCAGCTTTCCAAATAAAAATCAGTGCTCAATGCAAAAATAAATTATATCACAATTGCATCATTTAAGAAGTCTCATAAATAGCACCTCAAACAATCTACCAAATAATACCCTCACATTTCAACGGCAATTCTGATCCATTATGAAGAAATGAAAGCAAGACATGGACCTAGCACTCTGCGCACAATTTACTTTAGGTTACACTATACTGACTACAATAAACAAGATGAAACATAGAAGCAGTGAATACTTCAGCTATATTACTATATACAGCTATCCCAATCCTTTTTCAGAGGTAATGCCCCCAGCCAAATCATCTAATGACTCAAAAACAGTACAAAAACATGCAATGTTGTTCTCTATTCAGAATTGTCCAGTCTCCACACAAGGCAATGCTATGACCATTTCTGGATGCTTTGTGTTCCCAATTGCAAAACTCATTGCAAAGACATCTTTTTCCATTGTGTGACAAATAATTGAAAAGGCTACCAAACTCAAGTGTAGACTCTTTACAGTGAGCAAGTTAACAACACAGATATATTCCTGGGGTAATAATCCCTTCAAAATAATGAATAAAAACAATAATTTGGTCATTTAATCCACTGTTAGTTGTACACTGCTGTGTGCAATTGGCTGTCACATTTCACCCACAAAATATACATTGAATTCACTTTACAGTACACCTTGTAAGGCACTTTGAGACGTCTCAAAGACATAAGGTGCTATATCAAATGCAAGGATCATTATATACAAGGACAAGAATATACAGTGGTCCTGCCTGTAAAATATCTGTTTTACTTACATTAGGGAAAAGGTTAGTTTTATGAACTTGCATACTGCTGTGTGGCTACGAGGGCTGTAGCATTTACAGAAAATATTTTCAATCTTATGATCAAAAGAAGCAGATATAAAGTCCATTGCTCACCTCTCCTCACTATTTTATAAACAAGTATAAACATGGTAATTTGGTGGAATCACCGTCATGCAGCTAAATTATGCTCTTTCCCACACAAGTTTCTCGTCTGCCAACAACGGGGGTGGGGGGGGAGGGAGATAGACACCCATATGCTTCTGACTTAATTATGCAGTATTGTGGATTTTTAAAAAACAAAACAATTTCAATAATCTACTTATATGCAGTATTGGGCACCAAGCGATGAACATTTTCATTCTAAAGGCTATTTGGCCCATTGTAATTTTCTAAGTCACTTTATAAATCTTTCGCTTTTCCAATTCCTTTTTAATTATTCAGCCCATTGTCAGAATGAATTCCACACTCCAAACACACCCTTTCAGGTTCCCCACCTTCTTGTCAAACAATTTCAAGATCTTCACCCTCACCTATAATCCCTTCATGGCCAACACCTCCCCACCTCTCTGAGCATCTCCAACCCCACTTCTCTCCTGACACCCTTCACCCAGGTTTGTCGTGCATCATCCATTCTCTGGGAGTGCATGGGAGTGAGCATAAAGTCCAAATGTGGGGCTTGAACACACGACTTTCTAATCCAAGCTAACACCATTTAGCAGAATTGGAAGCATCAGTCAGGCTTAGTCAGTATCAGTCTCTAGATCACAAGATTATTGGTTTACTCTGCATCAGAAAAGGAAGTTTCTCCCAGTTTCCTGGCCAACAATCCTCAGATAAAAAAATTTTGGTCATTTACCTCAAGGCTATTTGTCATTGTTCTGTGCAAATTGGCTGCCACATTTGCCTAAAAATTCATTTACTGATACAATTTACAGGAAATCTCTGAAACACTTTGAGATGTTGTGCCATAAGGTGCTACACCACATGCAAGAATTATACTATTATTATTTATCATGTATGAAGCTAATCTTTAGGATTATTTATTCTGTACCTATTCAGTTTGTAAAAATGCACTAATATTGCTCAATCCAGAAGTATGGGGGGGGGGGGGGGGGGGAGAGAGAGAGAGAGAGAGCTGCCCAGCAATAGATGCTGACATGTCATTAACTTTTCATCCTTATACAACACCCAGTAACTTATATTAAACTGTCCTAAATGGTCACATTGTACTAGTTACGATGTGTTTACAGACCACAATTAAATCACTTACTTAAAGGAGTTCAATTATTTTTTAAAAAAGTTCAACAGCATAAAACTTCTCCTGAAAGTACAACAATGCACCTGGGCCACAAATCTCCCAAGAGAACCAGGTAAACTATGAAGTCCTACCCGTTAATCCCAACATTCAACCAATACCCCAAACTTTCCTAGGAACATTTCATTCTAACACTTTACCCAGTCCATATTTAAGAGAGGACAGTAAAAAGGTTAAAGGTTAAAAATTCTGTATCAGCAAACCAAAGCACTATAAATGACCATTAGCACTATTATGGACTACAACAAAGTTTCACTTTTTGATTCAACGTAGCAGCCTTTAGATTGAATACTTTTTTGTATATTAATCCTATGGATTGTACAACATGCATAATGTATTCAAAAAAAGTGTATTCATGCAGGAAGGAAGAGGAGGGGGGAAATAAATCATTGCCTACAAAGGAATTGTGTGCTTCACAACTGAAAACATCAGAACGTCAGTTTCTGGAAGCAGGTTACGAGCTGAACTGTAGTACAATCTATTCATGATTCATATCACTCCCATACTATATATGAATCAAAATCTTTACTCAATTCCTTAATCCTCATTCCATTTTTCAAACAACAGTCAATAAAGACTTATAAGCAAATTAAATAAGCGAAACCCTTCAATGTGGAATTTAAATGAAAAACAAGATGGATGGAGCATCATTCGTAATCCATGGAACCACAAGAAGATGTGATGTGTTACTCAAGTTCTATGTTAATCTAATTCAAGGCACTAAATGTAACTGACACTAGATGTACAAAACACATATTTTTAAAATGCAAATATCCTCGTATTTTAAAAAGACATGATTATGGGCTACGTAACAAATTAAATTGGAAAGTTTGCAAACGTGCGGCCATCAGATTGGACACATTCATTTCTGGGAAAAAAATAATCATTTTCATGGGACTATCAGTTTGACAAAGGCATCAATGTGCACAAAAACAGCAAATTACACTTGTATAGTGCCCTTCACGTCGGAACGACATACCACAGTCAAGTTAGGATAATAACCTACAGTTGAAAAGCCACAGGTGATGTATTAACAGTGTTAATTATAATGAGGTTTGACAGTGTTTATTATGATGAACTGGAATTTGTCTACAACAGTACTCTAACTACTTCTGAGATGCTCACAAACATCTTTGCAACATCCAATAAATCAGAGCATTCTTCTTTGCCTTCATGTTATAATTGACATATGTCTTACTCTGACTAGAAGCTTCCCTGCCCAAGCCATAAGAAGCAGTCCACATCAAGAAAGTTATGCTTTACAAATCACATCAAGATTAATGCATTTTTGCATTTGTTCTTTCACTTACACTGCAGTTCATCACTAAATGGATCTGGTTCATAATTTGTTCAGAAGTGATATAAGTTTTGCACATTACTAAAATACCGACAAAAAATGTCTTGGCACAGAATAAATCGCGGTGAGCGGTGATCAACTTATTTGCATGGCACAAAATTATGTCATACTATTTTGTGTGTGTAACCCATAGAGCCCTTAGTTTTAAAGTCATAAGCGTTTAAACCATAGGTGGCGCTGTACGAGGAGCTTCGGTGTTTTATAATGAGGCACTTCTTTAACAAAAATGTTTTTTATGCTGCATTTGAAGTCTCAAACCCAGTCTCTGAAGAGCGCCTCCTGCTGCACGAATATCGATCCTGATTCTCTGCATGGCTGCACTAGTTTGGGTGGGGGCCGCTGTTCGGGCAGCGCGTGTAGAAAACATTTTCTTTCCCTATTACCTCTCGATGCAAATGGTGCAAAATCTATCATTCAAATCTAAACAGGACCACACACACACAAAAAAAAACACCCAACATTTCTCACAATGCACTGTCTGGAGAATAATGAAATAGTTTTTTTTCTGGATCCCCCCCCCCCCCAAAAAAAAAATAGGGTATCCAGTTGCATTTTTCAACTCTGGCGGGGGCTGTGGTTTGGAACGAAATGGATCTATTTGCGGTTAAGTTCCGCTGCGTTTTCTTTAAAGAACACGTGCTGTAACGTTACTTTTAACTTATTAATTTGCAAACCCTTACAACGCTTGGGAACCCCAAAACCTATTCATGTCTGCAGTGGAGCAGCAATCGCGCCATTTTACAGCAACGTCATAGCCGGCAACCGGTTCTGGAGGTGCACATTTAACATGATCATCTACTCATGCAACCCTTAATATTACCGAGTCTACAATATATCTACAATTGTCACCGTATCAACTCACGTGAATCCCCATATGTAAATTAACAAATAAATTAAATCACAGTTTCCATCCACCCGTCTTCTGTCTAGGGCGTTTCTTGCTGTCTGGATTGGTCGAGCATGCTGTCTAAAGACCATAGAGCACTAGAAAAAGGTATTGAGCAGATGTGTAAACAAATGTTCGATCGGATTTACCAGTGATGGCACATAGAATCATCGATGACATTACTATTTTACATTTTAGTCATTCGAAACAGCGACTACTTAGAAAATGCCCCTTCAGGCTCTTCATTTTCCGGGGACCCAAGCTTCCCCACTCCACAAAAATACCTTTCAAATATGTCACGATGTAGGTCGAGCCAGAATATTAGGAAATATCCTAATTCGTGTTTAAGAAAGGCAACAAGAACATCGATTGGGTGACTAGTCCTATTGCATATGCATCAAATCGATACATAGTAAATTATAGTAATATCTAAATAACCCGCGCCTATCTTACAAGTACAATAATACCCAGTTCCAACTGCAAATTTTAACACCACATTCGAGGCTCGTACAACTCACTCATCCTCGCCCCTAAACCGTGCAGGGTTTTCGTCAAAATTAACATACGTCCTGGTGTCTTCTTCCAAAAAAAAAGAGAGACGTGAACACATTTAAACAAAACAGCGGACTTGGAAAAGAAAAAAAATCGGTCAAAAAACGGACCGCTGCTTCAGAAAAAAACACACACACACACACACACCTACATCTCAGGCAAGAAAGGCTACACAGAGGCTCTTGCACGTTTTCCTCTTGGTTTTTCGAATAAAAATAAGCCGGCAAAATAAAATCAGCAGACACCAACTCACCAGAAGGATAAAGAGCAGAGAACTACTTGCATGCACATTGCTTCTTTCTATCTCCCCCCTCCTCCTCCTCCTCCTCCACCCAACCCACCCCTCAAAAAAATACATTATATATAATTATAGATAAGACAAGACGGAGAAAATCCAATGCTCGTTCAAGATGTTAAAACCGGGTCTGGCACAGGTCGCTTAACACACACACACACTCACAAAAAAAAATGTCTCACCTTGGCTTGGGGGGCTTTTTTTTTGGAGGGTTTGGAGGAGGAGATGGTGGTATAAAGAGAGAGAGAGAGAGGGGGAGAGGGAGAGAGCGGAGGGGGGGGGGGGTGGGTGGGAGAGGTGGGGAGGGGATTGGGGGTGAGGGGGAGGAAGAGGAGGAGGAGGGGAGGAAGAGAGGGAGGGGAGTTGGTTATTTTTAATTGTTCAGTTGAAAAGCGCGAGAGCCGGCGGAGAAGAGGGCGCGCGAGCCGCAAACAAAGGGCCTTCTCCGCCTTCCTCCTCCTCCCGCCACCGCCGCTTTTACCCCCCACTCCCCTCCCACCTCCTTCCTTCCTTCCTTCCTCCTTCCTCCTCACATCAACACCCGGGTTGTCGAGCCGAGAGCCGAGAAAGGAGGGGAAGGGACGGCGAGGAGAGGAGGAGGAGGAGGAGGAGGAGAGGGAGAAGAGGAGAGAGAGAGGCGGCCGCGGCGCTGCTTCCAGCGTTGACTGAAAGAGGGAGCTGTTTTTTTTCAAAAAAAACACACAAAAAAAGGAGAGAGAGAGAGAGACAGACACAGAGAAGAAGAGGGAAGAAGATGAAGAGAGAGGGATGAGAGGAGAGAGAGAGAGAGAGAGAGAGGAGGAAGAGGATGGGGGGTGGGGGTGGGGGGGGAACAAGGAGGGCGGGTGTGTGTGTGTGGAGGAGAGAGAGAGAGAGAGAGAGGGAAAAAAAAGCCGCGCCGCTTAAAAAAAAACAAGGAGGGGAGGAGGGGGGGGAAGAAGAGGGAAAACAAACAAACCCCGAGCGACCGAACTTTTTTTTTGGAGGGTGATGGTGGCGGTGTGTGGGGGGGAGGGAGGGGGGGGGGGGGAAGAAAAGAAAACCGAAAACTTTTTTTCCCGAGGAGGAGGAGGAGGAGCGGGGGGGTAAAAAAAAAAGAGAGGGAAGGAGGAGGAAAAGGGGTGAAAGGGGGGGAAGGGGGGGGGGGGTTAGAAAGCCCAAAAAAAATCCAATTTCTTTCGGGGACAATAATTCACGGAGAAGACCTTCCTTTTCCCTGGGCCAAAATGGCGTCCGAGAAAGAACGGAAGTGACGTAAGGGCCTCCTTCGCCTGGGTGGGGGGGGGGGTTGGAGGAGGAGGAGGGAGGGGGAGAGGAGGGGGGGGGGTGAGTGTGTCTGGTGGGAGGGGGGGGAGACTATTTATCGTCCAATAGAGAAGAGCCTCTGGTGACTTGGGGTGGACAATTCTTCCCCCCCCCCACCACCCCCCAAAAAAACTTCTCGACCACGTGTCCACCCCCAGACCCCCAAATGTCCCCCCTCACCCGTCCCCCCACACTGGACCCCAGTGGCCAAAGAGAGAGAGAGAGGGCCCCCCCCCCCAACTGCAGGTATTATTCAACGTGTAGTTGGTTGAGGTTACATAAGCAGCGCCCCCCCCCCCCCCCATCTCTATTCTCGCGAGAATTGGTGCAAGGGGAGGCCGCCCCCCCCCCACCCACCTCCCTCCCTCCACCCACCCCTCGTGAAAACGAGGCTGCCGGCCCCACCCGCTCTCCCCCAATAGGGGGCGCTCGGCGTCACCCCATCTGCCAACAGGCAATGGAGGGCTGGGTGGGGTGTGGGTGGGGGGGGGGGTGTGGTACCGCACTGCGCAGGTGCAGACTGGGGCATCTGGCGCCTCCATCTGCTCGGGTGTGCAGACACAGACCGAAGCACTCACACACGCACACACATGTACATACCACCTGATTCAGCAGTTGGGATATCCATGCGCCCTCCCCCCCCCCCCCCACTCCTCCTCCTCCTCCCTCCACTGGTCCAGCACTACTTTGTGAGAGGAGGGAGGGAGGGAAGGAGGGTGGTGAGTGTATGACCGTATCCTGGTTCGACTCCCCCCTGTGGCTGAGCTTCGGTGCGGTCGACGAGCGTAACAAAATGGTGGCGTTCGTCTCCAACCCGAGAGGATTCGGCTCCGCGGGACGCGCGGCCTTTTGGAGTTTCCAACGAGACCCGGGGTGGGGGGGTGTGGGATAACAAGACCCGCGGTGGGGGGGTGTGGGGTAACGAGACCCGGGGTGGGGGGGGTGTGGGATAACAAGACCCGCGGTGGGGGGGTGTGGGGTAACGAGACCCGGGGTGGGGGGGTGTGGGATAACAAGACCCGGGGTGGGGGGGTGTGGGATAACAGACCCGGGGTGGGGGGTGTGGGATAACAAGACCCGGGGTGGGGGGGTGTGGGATAACAAGACCCGGGGTGGGGGGGTGTGGGATAACAAGACCCGGGGTGGGGGGGTGTGGGATAAGGAGACCCGGGATGGGGGAATAATGAGACACAACACAGGACCACATTCTCACGGCGCCGGGAGGACGTCTCGAGGTGGAGGACGGTCAAGGATTTGGTGGGTGGGGGAGGTTGGGGGTTACAGGGGGTGTAGGGGTGGGTGGGTGGGGAGGTTGGGGAGGTTGGATGTTACAGGGTGTGTAGGGGTGGGTGGGTGGGGGAGGTTGGGGAGGTTGGATGTTACAGGGTGTGTAGGGGTGGGTGGGTGGGAGGGGTGATTGGGGAGGTTGGATGTTACAGGGTGTGTAGGGGTGGGTGGGTGGGGTGGGGAGGTTGGATGTTACAGGGTGTGTAGGGGTGGGTGGGTGGGGGAGGTTGGATGTTACAGGGTGTGTAGGGGTGGGTGGGAGGGGTGATTGGGGAGGTTGGATGTTACAGGGTGTGTAGGGGTGGGTGGGTGATTGGGGAGGTTGGATGTTACAGGGTGTGTAGGGGTGGGTGGGTGGGGGGGGTTGGGGGGGATGTTACAGGGTGTGTAGGGGTGGGTGGGGGTTGGGGAGGTTGGAGGTTACAGGGTGTGTAGGGGTGGGGTGATGACCGAAGGCCCAGTTGAAGGGAAATGAAATGCACGAGCTGAAAATATTGCCCAACTATCCTCAAGACTAAACCGCCGCTGTCACATCCGTTCTGAAACAAATAGCTCCTACTAATTGGATGGAAATTAGATTGCCCAATAACTTAAGGTCAGATATCATGGGGTTACAGTGAGGAGAAATAACAGAATACAGTTCGGGTTCGTGAGCGTTTAAGGCGTTGGCCCCGGCTTGCTTCGGTTTACCCACATTTTCAATACTGAATGCAAATGTTCTTTGTTTTTTTTAGCCTGGATTAACTTCACCCTCAACTGAAACATGGAACCACATTCATGGCAACCTAACACAAAGTGACACCAAGCACACCAAGGTTACAACCAATATACACATTCAAGAATTGCTATTCAATGTATTTTTGAAACTTGACGCCAAGTCGACTACAACAACAAGTCTAAGCAACTGAAGTAGATCAGGCAGAAGTTGGTTTCAATGTCGGGTCTGAATACACCCGACAATGTTTTGTGTCAGCTTTAAAGTGTACTTGGATGTACATATCGATCGTTAGTTCGAATCACCTAACGTGCATTTACCAATAATTGACCAAGATGAGTTTGAAATATAGCTGCAACATTTATTGGTTCCTGCGACCACTTGTGAAAAGATTACCATAAATTACCAATAGTATTTACTAAGTAGTGTTGAGTTACCAAAAGTTACAAAATAATTAACATGTACAAGTCAACATGAAGCTTCCTTAAAATTAAATCGAGGTATGATTTCAAAGAGAAAGCAAATGGGGTATACTTTAGTTCTAAAGTTGGTGATTATCAAAAAAGGCATTTCTTTTTTCTAGACAATCCCTGGACTCACTATTTAAATTGAGGTACAATAGTTGTCTTATAAAATTATTCCAACAAATTAATGGTTCTCCATTGAAATAAAAATGTCATTTTTTTTCTGGTTATGAATCATTTTATGAAGGATGATTTCCCCTAAAATCCACGTGAAGATTATTCAGTATAAGAAGGAAAAAGTCTGCATCATCTTCGTAAAAGGACATAAATCTTTCTCTTCTGCAATGGTACAAACAAAACTATTGGGACACGTTACGGTGATTTTTTAATGTAAAACTCCCTCTCAAAAAGGATTTGCAGATCACCATTTGATATTGGGGTAAGGGCATAAAAGTCATACAAATTACTGGATGATCAGATTCACAATGTTTTGATACCCACATTTTTAAAGTTCTGCACATTCTTAAGTCTTTCTGCTTCATACAACATTCCATCGCCAAGGTAGGCAGGCAACCTTGCTTTGAGTCTTTTGAAATTAGCACTGGCTGCTAAATTGTACTAAGAACAGTGCAATGAACTCTGCCCTTGGAACTTCTTTGTTCCCTATTGAAAAACACATAGAGATCTTACTAGATAGAAAATGTGAATTCTTAATTTGATTCTATTAAAGCATGCTAAAATACTGGAACACCAATACCTTATGTCATTTGACTGCTATTTAAAATTAGCAGTCATCCATTGATGTGAATATAAAATCGCAATTGGGGGTGGGGGTGGGGGGGTGGGGGTGCAGAGATATGCCCCATACCACCCAATGTCACTGTAATAAATTAACACTCACAGTGTGCTGCGTGAATTCAAGATGGAATTTCTCCCCCACTCATGGAGGAGAGGGAAGAGAAGCCTTTCCAAGAGCTCTTAGTGGATTGTACCATTTTTCTTCCAAAACGTTATGACTTTTGCTTTTTTGTCATTGGATCTACAGTTAATCTGGTGTCACCTTGACCTTAAACAGTCCTTTCGTAATGAGAATAAATAGGTACTGATGTGCTCAAGAACTCAAGTATCTGCATATGACCACAGTGTGGTTCATTGGTAAATAAAATACTATTTTAGAATATAATTTCTGCTGATTTCATTGTAAGTCAAGTGGAAGGTGAGCTGAGCCCTGAACCTAAGGAAATTGAGCTCTGAGGCAAGGAGACGAGCTGAGAAAGTGATCTGAGTACTGAGTCAGGGCAGACACTGAGTCAGGGAAGCAATCTGAGTGCTGAACCAGAGAAACAAGATGAGCAATGAGCCGGAGAATCAAGCTGAATGTTCAGCAAGCAACGTTGGAACCGAGTATTGGCAGTGAGAAATGTCCCACAAAAGTTAGTGATTCCCTTGGTTTGTATTTCTTGCATCAAAGGCACCTCAGACTCATCCAATTTAATGTTAATTTAACAGAGGATGACTATGTACCAAAGTGACACAAACATTTTTATATGCAGAAACTGGCCAGGTGGACAATTCCCAAAGCACCTAATTTCAAGTGGGGTAAAGATTTACAACTAGGAACAGATATCAAATTAATGCAGGAATTCTGAGTTACAACATAACATTGTTTGAATAATAAAAACACAATCACACACACACGCCAGATTTGTTAATTGAAACATGCAAACCTATTATTCACGTGAGACTACGTAGTTAACGTACCTGTGCAGTTTTCAATGTTAACCTGAAATAATGCAAAATTGAGAGATTAACATTACTGCAATCATTCTATTTGAATGAAAAAGTTTTTTAAAAAAAGTAGTTAAGCTTTAGAGATAGTCAAGTCAGTTCTTAACATGCTCACTTTCAAACTGAAATCAAGTCCCTTATTCCTATGGGACCTTCATGACATGCTTTGCTACCGGTTGATAGAGGACCGGTTCACACCCATGAATTCTGATATGGCAATGTTTTGGTCTTAGCTGTTCTGGAGGATGTAACGTGTGGAATCTTGGCACTTTCCCAGTAGAAGGAAGAGGAAATGGCCAAGAAAAGAACAGACACTAAATGCCTTTGGCAGCTGCTTTTGCAACAGCATTGAGAGAGACCAGATAGTCATTTGCCTGGACAAACTGAGAAGGGGAAAGAAACACCTAGAGGGGAGAATAAAACAAACGGGGGGGTGGGGAGGAGAGAAACTCTAACAGTAACAAGTGGAAGGGGAGAAAACGATGAAATTCTTAGATAAATAAATTAGAGCTGGTTGCACTATTAGAATTCAGAAGCTGATGCAAATTAGTTAATTAACATGCTTGATGGTAACCAAAGTTCGCTAGTTATTGTACATGTTTTTTTAATGCATAGTTTGGGGGAAAAGACTGCTTACACTATCCTTTTCTTTAAATCCTGTAGATCAAAAGTATGAATCTTGTAAATGTAAAAATATGAACCTCATAGAGGCAAACATAATGAAAAGTAGCGCAGTGATGAACATTTTCATGCCAATTAAATTTATCTCCATGAAATTATGAAGATTATTTATTGTTCAAGCAGTGAGGGCATAGAAATTGTTCCTATAACTTTAACCCAATTTACAAATGCTAATTATTGACAAAATGCTGTGGTCTGGAGTGTTCATGGTTATGTACTGACTGCATTATTGTTGTCTGGGCAATTTATACATGCAAATTTGCAGACTCAGAAATGGTACCTTCTGTACAAGCAATTGAAAGTTTTAATAATACCTTGTTGAAGCTTGTAAATTCTTGTAAACAAAGCACCAAATACTGCTGCATCCCTGGTGAGAGGAAGTTACTTAGGCACTTTTGATTACATTTACATGAAGGTTCAGTTCACATGAGAACTGACAGATCTGATTATGGACAGGAACTACGTAAAAGGGAGGACACGTTTGCAGGAATATGAGGAGTGAGCAGGGGAGTGGGATGGACTTGGGTAGCACTTTTCAAAGAGCCGGCACAGCTGTGATGGGCCGAATGGCCTCCTTCTGTGCTGTAAAATTCTATGATTCCATGAAAAGCCTTTTGTGCCTTGGATGAATGAAATGCAAATTATTGGCAATAATGAAATATTAGCTTAAAAAAATCGAAGTCTCCCTCTAATTGTAACTAGTTATAAAAGAATTCAAATATTACAATGATATGATTGATTAAAGGACCACAAGCAATATTGGAGCATAAAATAAGTCAAGCAAATTAATATTTAAGAGCAGACTTGCTCAAAAAGAGTGAAATGATTTATTTCAAATTATACTTTACAAGCTTCACTCACTGAAGTATGCTACAAGATCTATAATTCCTTTACACACAACATTAGATTTTATAATGAGACTATGAAATGGGGAAATAATGCACAAATCTATTGTCTTACACACTGTGGACATACAACATTGCAGTTAAAATATTAGCTTCCATCATGTGGTGGCAAACAGATACAGCAGTCCTTTCAAAAATGAAACAATTTCATTTCCTCCGAGTTTAGATACACCGTACATACGGTCCACAAATGTGATGGGAACCTGTAACAATTCAGAGAAAAAAAGAAAAAAAAGATTAATTCAAGAGAAAGACAGTGTCAACATAAAGGAACGGTTATTTAGAATTAACTATACTGATGTATACACTCTATCGTTTGCATAAGAGGACAAGCCTGCACTTAAGGTAGTAAGAAATGGACTGTTTTTTCTACCATCGGCTTGATCTGTTAATATATTGCTCAATGCTTACTGAGGTGAATGGCGTGTGTGCAGGGAATGGATGCCATTTATACTTTGTGTACCCAGCATCTCCTCATCAGGTACAGCACAGATCTATAGTAAACTTCTTACTACTCTGCCCATTGATGGCCTTCAATGTCAACCTCAGAAGAGCGCATAGTAAACTTTACCACTAGATGAGGATGCAAATAAATCTATTAATTCAGACAAGCAAAACAGGTATTTTAGTAGGTAAAACTTGTCAAGTACGCAAAACTACGTCGCAGGCCTGATTTTTATACTGGTTTTTTTTCCTGCTCGTTAATAAGTTTATTGAAATCGAGGTTAAATTCTTTTGCTGACATATTCTGCGATTCACAAAGAAAACTCACCAGCTTATAATATTAGAAGTTGAAAACAAACCCTTTGCACTGAACAGTCTTATTTGCATGCTTTAATAGAGATTGTAAGCTTGACAGCTTTGCTTCCATAACCAGGATTTAGAATGCCTCAGTATAACATATTGATTTTTGGGCAGTTTACTATTGATTTTAGAGTTCGATCGGACATAGACTGCAGCCAAATTTTATATGAAATGCAAGGCAAGGGTGCGTTTGTACACGATAATGCAATCGAACTGGCAGAGATAAAGTAGAGCTGCAGTTAAAAATCTTCTGGGAGCAAAGGAGGAATAAAGTGATAATATTAATAATTCTTGCATTTGATATAACGCCTCATCACGTCTTCGAGACTCTCAAAGCGCTTCACAGGATATACTGTAAAGTGAATTGACTGTATATTTTGTGGACACGTGACTGAGGGCTGCTTGATAACCAGTGAAACCATCAGGATGCAATCACAACAGTTAGCACAGAACCATGCAGATAAGAAAAGGCGCAGCACTTTGCTTTATTATTTTTTTAAAAAAAATTTCTTGTGTAGAAGGAAAATGTAAAATATTTACTAAATATGTCCTCATTTAGATGTAAGAAAGTAATTTGCTCCTCTCCCTGCCATGGTTTTGCTCTCTGAAGATAACAGGAGCACTCTTTTCTGCACATGAGTCATATTATGTACTGTATATTTTTTGATTGCATCTAGGTATCTCAAAAGAATGCCTTACGTTTTGGATTTACTTTATGTATATATCATACCTCCGCAATAGTGTAGTTCAGTTGTCGAGCCCTGACAATCATCTCCATCTGAAAGACGTAGCCTTTTGATACACACCTTTCAACTAGTTTTTGCAGGACTTCTTTTCTGTATAACCTGTGGATTCAAAAAATAAAAGCAAAATTTAATTTTAAGTAAACATTCTCCCTCCACATCATTGGTAAATGCATTGAAGCTCATGCAGTACCGAACTGTATATGTCAGGTTCAATCCTTGCTGTAATAATTAATTATCACAACTTGTGAAGTAGAGCCAAGCCATTACAACTGCTTTTAATGTCCCTGGATAAGAGGGATACTAAGACCAAGTGATAAACCACAACTTAGCACAAATATGACATGGTTTAAGGCTGATTACTTAGCTAAATTATCATGCACACTCACACTGAGTGCGTTGGGATATTGGCAGAGAACTTGGGGCTATATTACTTTTGGCAGCTAAACTTTGTTCTAAATGAATTCATTGTAATCCTGAATTCTGACACGCCCTACAATAAAAACATTATAAATAACAAAATCTAGATAAGGATAAATTATTAAACCACATTCTCACCTGAAGCTCCCCGTCAAGTCAGACACACCTGGTCTCAGTAATACCTGAGTAACAAAGTTGGCTCCTCGGCTTTTAAAAAAAAACAACACTTGATTACATATAGTTTTGTTAGCTTTCATTCACTTGTGAGTAACGTTAGTTTGCAAGATCACCAGAGATTAACAGTCTTTAAATCTATGTTTTGGTATAAATATAGTGTTCAATTAGGTTTGTAATTTTCTTCCTGTTGGCATTTGCCTGTCTGCTCCTGGTGTAACTTCCTGTTGCTGAGGTGCAGTTTCAAAGACTTTCATTGCCCTGTGCGACCTTCCCCTAATTGGCAATGTTCATGTGTGAGCCTTAGCACGAGTCTTAACAAGCTGTTTGACTGTATAGGGCTTCACAACCGAGCCTGACCTCTTCCCACCTGGCTGCCACAAATATATTTGGCTTGTTTAATCTGTGAGGCACTTTAAGACGTCTCCATGACATGTATCAAATGCAAGGATTATTATTATTAATAGCAGTAGTATTATTATTATACAACCGGTAGAGGATGCTATAGAGTGACCAGAAGCAAGAACCCTGACTGGTTGAAGCCCTGGGAAAGCCGGGGCCAATTTAGCCGCCAATACAACTCCAGATGAGATCAGCAAACTCCACACGGATTGTGATTCAAACCTGTGAGCCATCAGTCCGTACAACTGCAGCTTTATCCACTCTACCATTGAGGCTGCGCTAATCTATGCTTAAAACACATTACAATAAGCATCTCCCAAAAATGCAAGAACTGAAAGTATGACACATCATATCATTTTAAACACTATCTTCACAAGATCACACATTTTCAGGTGTAAAAATTCTGAATCCAGGTATCACACCACCAAATTCTGTCATTGCACTTCAAATTGCGCTGCTAATCCAGGTGTTGTGCTTAAAAATGCTTTAAACACAACAATGGAATTTGAAATTCGATGATACATTTTCAAGCGCAACGCCACGACAATAGAATCCTCCGGCTTTTTAATATAATTATACATAATGATATATAATAATCCTTCTATTTGATATAGCGCCTTATCAGGTCTTTGAGACGTCTTAAAGCGCTTTCTGCGTGCATGCTCAGTGAGAACACCCATCACATGATGTATAATAATAATAATCCTTGCATTTGATATAGCGCTTTTCACGTCGGGAGGACGTCCCAAAGCGCTTCACAGATCACACTGTAAAGTGAATTGACTGTATATTTATGGGCGAACGTGGCAGCCAATTGCGCACAGCAATGTCCCACAAACAGTCGTAGATTGAAAATGACCAATTTATTATTGTTTTTTGTTTTGGAGGGATTATTATGTATTATGTATTATGTAGTTGGTGAAGTCCATAGTATCAGGGTACACAGCTCCTTACCTGATGAGTTTTCTTCTCAGGTCCCAGCCATAAACTCCTCCATCCCCTCTATAGCGTGTTCCAGAGACCAGATCGTAATTTCCTTCCTTTTGTTTTCTGTAATATGCATGTACTACAAAACATTATTTAACTGGAATTTAGTAATGAGCAACTTAAAACCCGGCACATTGAGCTTGTAGCACAGAAATTACTAGAACATGACAGTGCAAAATACACTAGAATTTTAGTTTCAAAATTCTCAGATAATCGTGAATTTTTCATCCTGTCCAAATATTAGCTGCTCAAATTTCTTTGAAAAGCATTTTATTCCGGTCGGAACGGAACAAATCGTAAAGTGCTTTTTGAATTATTGCTCACATGTTGATAACATTTTGGATGAGGATTTTCATTTCATCTTCATTTCAAGTATAACAATGAGTGACCAGATTTATCTAATTGTAGAGAACACCTGGATTTAAGTGCCTCCAGATGTGCTGTCAAGATGCAGGATAATAAAACATATGAATAAAACAATGCTAATATCTTACATATGCCAGCACCTTTCCACGTGCAAGTATGTCAGTTGGGATTTTGCTGAGTTAAGACTCAACTAAGATAGTATCAGCACGTGAAACTTGTTCTTACTGCTTTGAAAAATGTATTCTCCAAACATTCTCGAACTAGTTTTAACTCCATCCCACAGTCCCTCCGCCTCACGCCCCCCCTACCCTTGCCTCCTTCAAGGCCCGTCTCAAGACCCTCCTCTTCGACCGTGCCTTCGGTCATCCTCCTTCCCCCTCCTGCCCTCCTCCACCCTCCCCGATCCCGACCCCCAACTTGGGTTCGAAACACTGATTGTTCAGCGTCTTGGGATGCCCTCCTGATGTGAAAGGCGCTATAGAAATGTAATTTTGTTGTTGTTATACTGGTAATAATCCTCTATTGTGAAATGGATTGAGGTTAGCGGCAACCTATCCAAAAAGCCCTCTAACTTTTAGCAGTACTGCTTCTAATAATTAATTTTTTTTGTGCGTTATTCCAATGAATCATGTAGTAGACAAGAAGTTACCAACCTATCATTCCACATCAACACACACCATACACACACCCATTCACTTCTAAAGACAAACCAGTCTTTCAAATTATGCCAAATGACGGCTGTACTTGTTTACGTAAGGAGTAGTCAGTGAATTGCGTGTGCAGGATGCAGATCACACACTCCAAATAAAAGCGGCTTGTAGTCTCAGTCACACCCGAGTAGACTGACTGATCACTACCGTACAAACGTTACTGTACTTCTGTAATTAAAGGGGATCGAAGGCTGCTTTTAAAAGTAACTTATAATTGAATATGCGATCTTGCGCTTACAACAAAAATGCTATACAAATGTAATTTGTTGTGCTTTTAAATCTAACAATTTAGCCTGAAAACTAAGTTGGGTCTACTAAAGATATTATAAAGAATTCAAAATCAAAAGTAGCATCTTATAAACAACTATCAAAGTGCCAGAATTTTACAGATATACATAAGAAATGATAGACAAAAAAGACTAAGGTCCATCTAGTTTGCCTTCTACCTTCCTGGCGGTTGTATGCACATATGTCACAAGGTAAAATACCTCCAAACCCTAGTTCACACAGACCCACACCATTGCTTCCTGTTGCACCAAACTACCCAGATGGCAAATTTTGCGGTGAAATTATTACGAAAGAAACAAACTACTAACCTTATGAATTCAGGGATGAACTTTGGCTAAAATTAAAGAGGAAAGGGAACTGGTTATTTAAATAATTCAAAGGAAAAAAGACACAGCCAAATGAAAAGGAACTTACATGGTGTGAAAGATCTGCGTCCATTATTAAGATAAAGTTACCAGTGGCATGTTGCATTCCATGGATGTATGCTGTTCCTAAAACAAAATATATTCACGTGAATGGGATTCATTAGACATGCTCTTGTGCTTCTCAGGATACATTTTACACAATTTTGATAATCTTACGCATGATGATGAGTTTCCTTATGTCTCAGACACTCGGTTGACCAAAAAAATGTATACAGTATGACAAAAAAGATCAAAATACATTTTTAAAACAAGCATTTGTTACTAAAAAGTTTGTTGACCTAGTCCACTCATATTATTTTGTACTATTGTTAAAATCTCTAAACTTCTAGTTTATAATAATAATCTTAATAATCCTTGCATTTGATATAGCACTTTTCACGTCTTCTCGACGTCTCAAAGCGCTTCACAGAATAGACTGTAAAGTGAATTGACTGTATATTTGTGGGCGAATGCGGCAGCCAATTGGCACAGCAATGTCCCACAAACAGTCGTAGATTGAAAATGACCAATTTATTATTGTTTTTGGTTGTTGGAGGGATTATTATCAGGCGTGTGGAGTAAGGAAACTTGCCCAAGGTTTCGCCCTCTGCCTGGAATTGAACCCAGGTGTCTCGCTTGCAAGGTGAGTACTCTAACCACTGAGCTACAGGACTCCACATGTTGAGAGCCATGCTGAAACAATTGTGCTTCTACAGTAAACTATGTGAAACATGGTGAAACTTCGATCATCTGGAGGATACAGTCCATTTTTGTACCATTTTTAAATAATATTTAATTGTCTATACACTCAACGACAGAACTTACCTAACCCCAGCTTCTTTTCTCTTGGTCTCAGCAGCTGTGAAAACATGAAACATAAGAAATCCACATGTTACAGAGTGCAACATGGAGACAACATTCTACTTTATTAAATCAGGGGTTGTAGTTAGTTTATGAATGTGCTACACTGGAGACTGCCATCATTACTTTAATTTGTATCAGTAGTGGTTCATGTTAATTTATTCGCTGCTAAAGACACGATTTGGCATCCATCCCACTGCAGTTCCTGATCCCACAGATACTAATTGACAGTATTATACCATTGATACACAATGGATGCAGGTTGCAACAAGTTGATTTGTGTAGAACACGAGGTAAGGAGAATAGTTTAACCTAACCACCAGAAAAATCCTCTTTTCAGAAACTGTAAGCCTAAGGCGTGATATTCCATGTCTCAGTGGTAGTTGTTCAACAGTTTCAAAGATGTGCACAAAATGGCTCCTGAAAAAAAAACATTGACCTACATTTGGTTTGTTATTTTCATTGCTTTGTGCTCTGAATTAAATTTGATATCTGCAATATTGTAGGAAAAAATTGCATAGAATTAGAAGACATAAATCTTATTTTAACCTTAATACTGTTGGCATGTCTAGGGAAATTCCAGCCTAACCAATTTGGTTGGTTGGTTTCCAGATCACGTACCGTCCCACATTAATAAACCCTAATACTACAGTAATAAAGCTAATTAAATGTCCATTTTAAAAAAAAAGGAATGTATTCCATAAACTATTAAAATATAATTTATTTGCCAATTATCTTGCCTCCTCTCCTATAAAATTGAGAAAGAGCGGTAGCATTGGAAATAGAACGCATCTTTTCTTCTCTGTACCTAGGGTAGGGATCAACAACTTCAACAATATGCTTTAATCAAAGCCCTTAAAAATTTGCTCTCGAGCATTAAAGGAATAAGGGGAGGGGTAGGGCAACTGTCCAGACTGAGTTCAGATGGAGTTGACAGTGTATAAAAGTAGATCTAAGCCTGGAATGTAAATTATCCAAATCAATGTGTGTGTAACTTAGGGCTAAGAAGAAAGAAAAACTGTTACTAATCCAACATATTGCTTGTACCAGTGTAAAGGGTCATTGGTGTCACTTTTACACCAGCTGGCAAAATCTCAAAAATGTACTGCAATGAACTCAACAAGAAAAGACTCTATCATGACGTTGTTCTAGATTTCCATATTAGTAGTCTATCCAATTTAATCATTTTAAACGTTAAAAGTCTTGGTCAGAATAAATAAAAGCGAAACAGATGAAACCCCCAATTTAGAAATAAACATTAATTTCAAAATAAAGATGCTTGTTTTAAAAACAAACATGCAATTCTATGTCACGTCTGTGGATTTTCTGATTACATAAGTGTGTAATGAACCTGTGACCTCAACATGGAATCTTACGCTAAGTATTTCACAACTGTCAGTCTGGATAAACAGAGGTTGCTATTGAAGACAGAGGTTTAGGATAACGGGTGATTTAAATTATCCACAAACAAAGTAGCATGTGAAGAAAATAAATCTGCTTTTTCATACATTACTCTGAATCACTGGGTGAGGGCAGATGCATATTCGATTTAGTGCTGGTCAGAGAATGATCAGTAATCTAGAGAGGAATATACTTAAGACATAACTAATCGTATTATTATCAGGCTAGACACATTGATGAGAATTACTGACAAATTTAATGCTGCAACGAAATGAGAGCGGGGAAAGGCTGGAGACTATTTCGGAAGCAAAAAGTAGAGAAGGAATAAATGGGGTATTTTCAGATTTTCAGAAAGTTAGAAGAGATTTGATTAGCTGGCTCACTGCTGCACAGTAAATCATTGCTAACAATGGGAAGTACTACACCCGAGGCAAACCAATATATAATAAATCAGGAAGGACAGAAGTTGAAATCAAACGGCAAATGAGGAATTACAAATGTAAAAATTAGCGCAGAGAAGCACAACACATTCCCCTTTAAAGGAAGTGAAAGCGGAGATGGCGCGTTTTTGCCAAAGTATTTGACAGCTAATTAATAACCAGGCGAGTGTGATGTGGTTCCAATTTTTAAGAAGTGTCAGAAACATGACCTGAATATGAAAGGTTGGTTACTTCAACATGCAGAAGTCATTCAAAGAGCTACACAGAGATATTGAAAGCAAGTACTGTATTAATAAGTCAATATGGACTTATAAATAAAGACATTGTCTTGTACAAATTTACTAGATTTTGCCGAATACAACTTAAGGGATTGTGATGCACTGGGAAGGATTTTTTTTCTCAAATACTGTGTAATATAAAGTAGTAAAAAAATGCTTGGGAATAAGTCAAGATCGCACAACGAAAGGACATGTTTTAAAAGGGATCATGAAATTATCAGTCAAATAAGAGGCAATTTGATGCATGAAGGTGCCATATAGTGCCGTGAATGCTGATGTGCAATTTCTTTTTAAGAGAAAACAAAGTAGATAGTGGTAATGAAATCATAGTTTAGATCTAGAGTAAATAGGAACTGTGGTCTGGGGTTGAAGGAATAGGAGGATAACATGTGGGGAACTGACAGTAGTACCATAATAGACCAGATGGAACCAGATGAATAGAGAAATGGCCTTGCCTCGTTCCTCAGATTCCTATGTTCTTACTGTATCAGTAAGGCATTTCTATTCCCCATACCAACCATCCTTATGGCCCATCTCATTGAGCCTATCCAATCAGTGCCAAATTATGTTTGGTTTTGTGCTTCAAACTTGTTTCCCTGAGGACTCTTAGCAGAAAGAGAGATAGAGACAGAAAGCGAGGGAATATTTTTCATTTCAGCACTTTTAAGCCCCAGAGGTGAAGGTACTCTTCCAACCCACCCACACTCTCTCATGAAAAAAAGAGTACATATGTGCATAATATATAGATAGACATTTTGAAAATACTTACAATTTTATCCGATCCATAAATCTGTTCCAACTGTTTGGCAACATCAAGTGTCCCATCAGGGCTCCCATCATCAATCACTATAATCTCGTAATCAATTCCGCTGGAAATAAAAACAAAACAAACTATACACATTGTTGGTACAGTACTGTGATATCGTGCGACTATGGGGAGGGAAACAGAGGGCCTCACAAATAGGCCGACTTCTGCCCTCATCCAACGTACACGTGCTTTCCAGGAGGGGTCAGTGTACAGCGATCGGAACAGGCTGATAATATTTCTCGCTAACCTCCCAAAAGCCAACTTGCACTGTCCCATGCCACACTTTTACAATTTCAAAACTTCTGTATCAATTGTGTGGGATTTCAATCTTTGCGGAAGATTAAGCCTGCACTGACCCACAGCAAAATGAAGCCTGTTAAAATGTGCTAACTCTCCACCCAACAATGATAATTGCAATGAATCTTTTGATTGGCGATCTGTCACTAATGCCTCAAACGTGAAACAGTTTCACCTGCATCTTAGTCTTTCCAAACTGCCCCATGTGATATTTTGTCACTCTTCCCTTCAGGGGAAGAGCTCTTTCAGGGCAGGTAATTAATTGAGTTTGCCAGCAGCATGCATTGCCCGATAAAAGGGCGTGCATCTGTCACCTTCTAGAATCAAGCCAAGCCACGAATTTTAGCTTCCAGTTCAAGACACAAGGAAAAATGTGTTGTCTGTGGTTCACCAGAATACAAATACCCAAATGCATCAGCAGATAATGTTGTATGTATGAAATTGTTTTTGATATTCTGTTTGAATACGGATGCAAATTCACATTTTACTCAGATCCATTGTGTTCTATAGGGGAAGTGGGCATTTAGTGCATTGCCAATTGCAGAAAGATGATACTTATGGCCTCAAGTAACTGGGCATATTTGCTGCCAAAAAATCGAGTCTGTATGAAAAGGAAATACCCCCTGTTATTAGATAAGATCCAGGTGGTTATGAAGCATGGTTTACTGGAATTATTAATTATTTGTGACTTTCCACTGCATGATAGGGTCTGTGCCTACAACTGGAGGACAACTGATTCAAATAGAGAAACTGTTCAGGTTTCTGGCTTATATGGTTGGTTCAAAAATTAAAAATTTAACAAGAAAGGTGCAAAGGAGTCAAACATCATGTACAGTAACTGAATACAGCTGTTTTTTTGTACAATGCTATTTGGGAGTCAAATTTAGCTGGATCCCAAATAGCATGTTATAACTGAGATGGTTGAGAAAGAACAGAAGATCTAAACATCAGTAGAGCTGAATAAACTGAGTCTAATAGGACCAATTACAGTTAAATTTCGAGAGGACGTCCCAAGGCGCTGGACAGTCAGGGATTAGGAGGGGTGGTTCGGCTCAGGGAGGGTGGAGGGCAGGGAGGGTGGGGGTAGGAGGGTGGCCGAAGCACGGTCGAAGAGGAGGATCTTGAGGAGTGCCTTGAAGTAGGCAAGGGAGGGAGCGAGGCAAAGGGAATGTGGGATGGAGTTCTGAGGGTGGGGGCAGAGAGGCTGAAGGCTCGACCACCGATGGTACTGAAGGCCAGAGCCATGGAGCAGGCTGGAGCATGCTGAGCGGAGGGCGCGGACAGGTTGATAAGGGCTTAGCGGGTTGGAGAGGTAGGAGGGGGCAAAGCCGTGGAGGACTTTGAAGGTAAGGACGAGAATTTTGAACTCGATCCTCTGAGGGATGGGGAGCCAGTGGAGCCGGGCGAGGGTGGATGTGATGGGGTTACAAAAAGACGTCATCACACCCACGGTCTCCATCGACTAAACGGTCGAAAAGAAGTGATTCAACAGCAGTAGAAGGATAGAGTTGCTTTCCACTATAATTCTTCAAGATCTCATCTCATTAAGAGTTCTTTGATGCACAGATGTGTTCAGTAGTGTTTCTATTTCATACTTCACAATAAAAGTGTGGGCTTCTGAAGAGATTTGTTGGAACTCTGACTTTAGATCTACAGTTTATAATAATCATCTTTGCATTTGATACAGCGCCTTATCATATAGTTGAGACATCTCAAAGCGCTTCACAGAATATAATGCAAAGTGAATTGACTGTATATGTTGTAGGTGAAATTTTGAAGACTGCTGACATTTAGCTGGGAATCCTTTATTTGGATGCTTCAGCCCACCCCCCCCCCCCAAAGATATAAGCAATAAACCAGTCTACCGTTTATGAAACACTAGGATGATGACCCAGTAGATGCAATAGAAAAGCTTACAGTGATAAAACCAAAACTTTTAAATGATCAAGTCTGAGAGACAGCTAAAATAGGAATTAAATCACTAACTGATGCCCACCACAGCAGACGTCAATATAGTATTAATAACAAGCTCTTATTTCAGAATAATGCCTTTGCTCTACATTACCTGAATTAGTCATTACTCTAGTACAACACAGTGAATCAGAAATGTTAAATTTGTAGTGAACTGGATCGGGGCCAATATCACAAAACTAAAATAAACCACAAATATGTTCTGATTAACAATTCCCTGCCAATGCCAACATCCCGTGCTCTCGAGCGGAAAACTCTCCGTACAATTCACTGGTGGCACTTGTTATGGATGCTTTGACCTTTTACAGTTATTAAACTTACTAATCTGCCATTTGACAAACTAAATTGACCTATATGCTCGGTTTTCCTAGAGGTAGGAATCCTGGAAGATGTGTTGAACGTGGCTGGGACACCCGGATGTTCCTAAATTAGCAACCAAAGGAATGTAGAGCCCCAGATTTAGACACTGTGTTGAGACCATAGTAACGCAGTAAAAACAAAGGTCCTGCAATTTTTAGCCCGTATTGATGGGATTGCTGGCTGCAATTCACTGCATGGTTGTTTTGTATATCTATATTGAGACCAAGAGAGCAAAGGAAGAAGTTAAAAGACAGCTGCCATGGGAGAGAGAAATACTGGCAATCTTCAGAGCTCTATTACGGAGCCTAAAGCTCGCACAGAAACTTTTTTTTAAACTCAAAGGGATGTCTCTTGCACTCTTGTTTCAGGCTCCTTAAAATGGGGGATGGAAAGAAGGGGCCTGTAAGGTAACTCAACTGCTTCCATTTCATTTTCTGAATAAGTTTTTATTCAAAAAAAATTGCTCACTTTCCATTCCTTCCTCTGAAGGTAATGTCTCCAACTGGTTTACATCACCAGGGGCACTGCCCTCTGGTACCTCACCTACGCTCTCATTACTTACGTGTGAGATGGGCCATCGAGCGCTGGCAAGCTATTTGGTTGTGGGTGGCATTCACAGTCTGACCTTATCTGAATTTCACAAGTTCTATGAGACATTCTCGTCATGATAAGGCACTTTATCAAATGAAAGGATTATTATTGTTAATATAAAGATCCTGCAAGTTTTGTCAAAATTCCCCTGCACCTCCCCCTCCCCCCATGAAATGAAGCAGAACTACAGAACACCAATCCAACACTTGCGTTTGACATAGTGCCTTTTTTAAAAAAAAAATTGTTTTGTATCTATGTGGAGACCAAGAGAGGAAAGGAAGAAGTTAAAGACAGCTGACATGGGGAGAGGAATACTGCCAAACTTCAGAGCTCTATTAATTGGCTGCCGCTTTCCACCTACCAAATACAGTCACTACACTTTACAGTATATCACGTGAAGCGCTTTGAGATGTCTCGAAGACTTGATGAGGCGCTATATCAAATGCAAGGATTATTATAAGGACTATTATCCCCTTCCCCACCACAGCCTCTCTAAACCCCTTGCAGTGTCACAGTCTGGGTGGCTGCAGACCCTTTACCCTTCGCTGTCTGTCTGTCTGTCTGTGGTGGTGGTGTCTGTACCAAGAGCACCAGCCTTTGGTCTGCCAGTCTCACACACACACACTAACACACACATTAACACACATACACTGACACACACACACACTGACATATACACACACACACTGACACAAACACTAAGACATACACTGACACACACACACACATACACACACAGACACACACACACTAACACATATACTGACACACACACACTGACACAGACACGTACATACACACACTGACACACAGACTCACATACACTGACACACACACACTGACACACACACTGACACACACACTGACACACACAGACACACACACACTGACACACACACTAACATACACACTGACACACACACACTGACACACACACTAACATACACACTGACACACACACAATGACACACACACTAACATACACACATACACACTGACACACAAACACTGACACACACACACACTGACACACAGACCCACACACACTGACACACACACACAGACCCACACACACTGACACACACACACAGACCCACACACACTGACACACACACACAGACCCACACACACTGACACACACACACTGACACACACACACTGACATACACACTGACACACACACACTGACACACACTGACACACACACACACACTGACACACACTGACACACACACTGACACACACACACTGACACACACACACACTGACACACACACTGACACACACACACTGACACACAGACCCACACACACTGACATACACACTGACACAGACACTGACACAGACACTGACACACACTGACACACACACTGACACACATACACTGACACACACACACTGACACACACTGACACACACACTGACACACATACACTGACACACACACACACTGACACACACACACACTGACACACACACACAGACCCACACACACTGACACACACTGACACACACACACTGACACACACTGACACACAGGTACCTCTGGTCCAAGTACTTGGTCAGGAGCCAGATGATGAGCGGCAGGTTCTCCCTCTCGTTGTAGGTTGGCAGCAGCACCGAGTACCTGTCCCCCCGCGGCCTCTCGGCTCTCTCACCACTCGCCATGTTGGAAGGTTCCGGGAACCGGAAGTGAAGTCGGTCCCTCGTCTGGAACGGGTCCCCCGGAGCTCGGCCTCCGAACAGAGGGTCCGCCCCGTCACACAGCCCCGAGCTCACACTCACACACTCACACTGTCTGACACACACACACTCACACTCTCTGACACACACACTCACACACTGTCTGACACACACACTCACACACTCACATGTCTGACACACACACTCACACACTCACTCTGACACATACACACTCACACACTCACTGACACACACTCACTCACTGACACACACACACTGACACACTCACACACTCACTCTGACACACTCACTGACACACACTGACACTGACACACACGCACTCACTGACACACACACACTGACACACACACTCACTCACTCTGACACACACACTGACACACTCACACACTCACTCTGACACACACACACTGACACTCACTCTGACACACACACTGACACTGACACACTCACACACTCACTCTGACACACACACACACACACTCACTCTGACACACACATTCACACACTCACTCTGACACACACACACTCACACACTCACTGACACACACTCACTCACTGACACACACACACTGACACACACACTCACACACTCTGACACACACACACTCACACACTCACTCTGACACACACACTCACACACTCACTCTGACACACACACACTCACACACTCACTCTGACACACACACACTCACTCTGACACACACACATTCACACACTCACACTGTCTGACACATACACACTCTCACACTGTCTGACACACACACACTCACACTGTCTGACACACACACTCACACTGACACACTCACACACTCACTCTGACACACACACACTCACTCTGACACACACACTCACACACTCACTCTGACACACACACACACTCACACACTCACTCTGACACACACACTCTGACACACTCACTCTGACACACACATTCTGACACACTCACTCTGACACATACACACTCACACACTCACTCTGACACACACATTCACACACTCACTCTGACACATACACACTCACACACTCACTGACACACACTCACTCACTGACACACACACACTGACACACTCACACACTCACTCTGACACACTCACTGACACACACTGACACTGACACACACGCACTCACTGACACACACTGACACACACACACTCACTGACACACACACACTGACACACACACTCACTCACTCTGACACACACACTGACACACTCACACACTCACTCTGACACACACACACTGACACTCACTCTGACACACACACACACTGACACTGACACACACGCACTCACTGACACACACTGACACACACACACTCACTGACACACACACACTGACGCACACACACTCATACAGTCTGACACACTCACTGACACACACACACTGACACACTCATTGACACACACACACACTGACACACTCACTGACACACTGACACACACTGACACACACTGACAGACAGACACACACTGACACACACACACTGACACACACACACTGACACACACTGACACACTCATACACTGACACACTCACAAGCTCTGACACACTCATTGACACACACACCCACACTGACACACTCACTGACACACGCTGACACTCACTGACACACACACACTCTGACACACACACTCACACACTCTGACACACACACACACTGACAGACAGACACACACACACTGACACACACACACACACACTGACACTCACTGACACACACACACTCTGACACACACACTCACACACTCTGACACACACACTCACACACTCTGACACACACACTGACACACACACACACACTGACAGACAGACACACACTGACACACACAGCACTGACCCCCCACAGCTCATTCCTAACTGATGTCTTCAATATCATGTCATACATCAATGTGACATCCAATGTCACATAAACACCTAAAATATTACACAATCTCATGTTTCCGAAACCTAAATATTATAGCATTTCATTTGACCCAAACACCTAAAATCTTGTAACGTGTAATGTCACCTAAACACCCAAATATGAATAATATCTGATGTCTCATCAATACTGAACGCAATATAATATCTAATATCTTAGAAATAACTGAAATATTATAATGTCTAAAATCTTACAAGTGCTGAATCTAAAATCTTCAATGGCTTGTTTTGAGCAAAACAAAAGATGGCATTAGGTTTACTAAAATAACTTTAAATTCTGCAATAAAATATAGATTTAACCCCCACCGCCTCAACCCCCCACCAAAAAAAATATCTAGGTGCAGTTTTTAATACTAGTAAAGTGTGTTCATTGTTGAAAAATAAAACTTTTGACGAAATAGGTTTCATGCGTGGATACCTGAGAAACAAATGTTATTGGATGGGATTGAATTTATTATTTATGTATTCTGTATTTGTTCATGGATTCATTTCTGCTCTTGTCAAGAACAGGCTTTCATACTGCGACATAATTTATCCCCCACCCCCTCCACAATATAAACAGTGTAAGACGCAAAACAATCTTAAAGGATGAATAGACAAGTGGCTTAATTGAGAGCAATCTCTTTGCAAGTAATACCATGCAAAATTACATTTGTAGAGCGCCTTTCACGTCGGGATGACGTCCCAAGGCGCTGAACGGTCAGGGATTAGGACCCGAGTGGGAGGGGATGTGGGGGGCTTTTGGGATCAGGGAAGGTGGAGGTGCAGAGAGAGTAGGAGGGCGGCAGAAGGCACGGTCGAAGTGGAGGGTCTTGGCGCGTGCCTTGAAGGAGGCAAGGGAGGGAGCCAGGCAAAGGGGTTGTGGGATGGAGTTCCAGAGGGTGGAGGCAGAGAGGCTGAAGGACTGACCGCCGATGGTGGGGTGGGCTGGGCGGAGGACGTGGAGCAGGTAGGAGCCACAAAGGGACTTGACAGTGAGGATGAGGATTTTGAACCTGATCCTCTAAGGGATGAGGAGCCAGTGGAGCCGGGAGAGGGTGGGTGTGGTGGGATCACGGAGCCTGGTCTGGGAGAGGACACGAGCTGCAGAGTTCTGGATGATCCGCAGCTGGTGGAGGGAAGAGTTGGGAAGGTCCACAAACAGGGCGTTGGCATCGTCGAGTCTGGTTGTAATGAAGGCGTCAAGCGCTTTAAGACGTCTCAACGATGTGATAATAATAATAATAATAATAATTCTTGCATTTGATATAGCGCTTTTCACGTCTTCAAGATGTCTCAAAGCGCTTCACAGAATGTAGTGTAAAGTGAATTGACTGTACATTTGTGGGCGAAACGCGGGAGCCAATTGCGCACAACAGATTCCCACAAACAGTCATCATATATGTATATAAAGGCGCTATATCAAATGCAAGGATTATTATTATTAGTAGTATTATTATTAACATTATAAGGCGTGTATGAGGGTTTGGGCGGCCTGAGGGGTGAGACAGTGAGTGGCAGAGTCGGGCAATATTGCGGAAGTGGGGAAAGGCAGAGCGGGTCATGGCGCGGATGTGGGTGAGAAAGGATGGTTGAGGTCGAACCAAATTCAACAATGTCGCAACGCACATAATACTGTAGATGGCACTACAAATACACTGGATTTCAGAGGCGAAGGCAAAAGGTATTGCAGCAGGGGGCAGTGCTGGTTAAATAGTTTGTAAGAAATTGAAGGTGTAAAAATAAAATATTCTGTGAGGAGAGCATTTTGTCACCTCCTGGAAATTTACAACGTTGCTTACGCTGATGCAAGAGGTTCACCCGTACATTCTGAAAATAATTTTAAAGAAACCGTTTCTCGCTGAAGCGTTTGTAAGTTTTTTTTTAACTGTAACCACAGCCACCAGACCAGTAGCGCCAGACAGATATTACTGAATGCGCACAGAGACAGACGTGGTTTACAAATGACGGTTTATTTATACCTCCAGCAGCCTCGGCAGAAACAGACACGACTCGACAGACCCAGCATGTCCTGCACCTCTACAGTTCACTCGCTTTCCACCCCATTTAGGTGCTCAACAGCTGCGGCACTTTGTCCTCATCAGCCCAAATCTGATAATTTGGCTACGGCTCAGGCTTCTTACCCAGCGTCTTGGACATCACTATCAACCACAAAGCCATCTCGGACCACTACTTCATCTCCCTTAACTCCTCCATCCCCCTCCCAGGCGCCTACCCACCTCCATCTCCTACCGCATCCCAGCGCCTTGGGATGTCCTCTCGACATGAAAGGCGCTGTAGAAATGTCATTTGTTGTTGTTATTTTACTCTCCCTGGTTATTTAGTCATACAGTAAGAGACTGATGGAAGGGTGGGTTGGGGTCAGAGTTTTTATATGGCCCAGATTCCACTCTCCACCCCACCCCCCACCCCCACCCACTCCCCTTCTTAGGAATATAGGCAAAATTAGCCTTGTCCTATATTTGATTTGGCACATTTAAAACAACACTTTACATCCATTTTCTGTGTTTGACAGCGTGTTAGGGTATATGGGTTATGAATCATGAGGCAGAATGTTGGAACATCGATTTCTGTTTGATCTGTGTTTCCACACAGCACTGTGAGTGAGTGCGAACCACTGATTGTTATTGCAGTCGTCATAGCTGCTGAACATTCGCTGCTGTGGATGTGGCAATTGTATTAATGGCAATATTTTTAGAACAGAAAGACTGTAGAAGAGTGAGGCTATTTATAGCTGTGCGTTCATTGTCTAAGCCTAAGGACAAGTTAGCACTTAGCACTGGACCAAACTGGTGAGAAGCATTGGTAGTCTGAGTACTAAGAAGCCAGTGTAAAATACTCTACTATTATTCATGCTGGTGCTGAAGTAAAGTAGTTTTTTTCTCCAAAAAATAATCAGCCTCAATGCTGCGCTGTGTATGACTAGAGTTACAGAGTAGCAAGAAAGAATGGGAATTAACAGAGGAATACAGCTGGGTCACTGCAAGACATCTGACTTGGTTCAACATGAATATCATACACCCTGTAGGTCTATAAATTGTACACATATTCAGGCATACTTCGCTCGCAAAATACACAGGT